ATTTTATTTCTGTTTCATTCCTCTTAATCACTGTATAGTCTTTCTTGTCTGTGACATACTGTAAATATCCATTTATTCTGCATAACTGTACATTTACATTGCTGTTTTTCACTACTACAAACAGTACTAAATGAAGGTCCTTATATACACGGTAGGGCAAAGTAAGTTTTGCAGTTGGGAATACTTGAAACACAGTTTATTCTTGTTTTATTTATTTATTTATTTATTTATTACTGCATTTTCCATATGAACAATGTATTTTTTTCCCTCATGTACATGTGTGCAAATTTCACTATGGTGCATATCTTAAAGTGAAGTTGCTAAGTTATAAAGTATGTGAAAGGTACGGAGTGGGCTGGGGTGGTGCACCTGTGACATGAGGCTGTAATGTATCAAAAAAGCTTTTATTTCAGGTGCCTGGATGCAGATAGGCTGAGTTAGCAGGGAGTGCAGGGATGGGGAAGACTTTTATCAGCTATTTCTGGCGGCAAGCAGTTAGACTGATGTAAGGGTCCGGTCCTTTGTTCCTCCCACCACCAGGTGTCTTCTGGTTATCTGAGCTATGCGGTATTCATGGCTGCAAGCTTTCTATAAGGTGTCTGTTAACACATTAGGCACCCAGTCTGTTTTGTCTTCCGGACGGAAAGTATAGTGTTGGTCACCGGTGATGGACTGGGCACTTAATGTGTTAAGCACAGTAAGTTTTTCTCTGTCCTGTTTTATTCTCTTTTACCCTTTCAGTATGTACCCATCCTATATAATAAAACCCTAATATGCAAATCAACTGAACAGCGGAACAACTGGTCGCTATGATGTGCACTGACCACCAGGGGGCAGACGCTTAATTCAAGAGCTGCCTCCTGGTGGTCAGTGTACTCCCACAGGGGGAGCGCCACTCAGCCAGAAGCCGGGCTCACGGCTGGTGAGCACAGTGGTGGTAGTGGGAACCTCTCCCCCTCCACTGCAGCACTAAGAAACAGCAAGCCAAGCGGTAAGGAGCAGTGAGCAGGTGGGTGGTAAGGAGTGATGGGTCCTAGACTGTGAGAGATATCCCGGACTGTGAGAGAAATGTCTGACTGCCGGCTTAGGTCCGATCCCTGGCCGGTATCGGACCTAAGCTGGCAGGTGGACATACCCCGAGGGGTCCTAGACTGCGAGAGGGCGCAGGCTGGGCTGATGGAACCCCCTCCCCCACCCCCAGTGCACCAACTTTGTGCACCGGGCCTCTAGTCTTTTATAAATACTTGCAAAGAGATTACATCAATTTATACTGTCCAAACAATGTATGTTCTTTTACTATACTAAGTATCTGTATTGTCAAACTTTAAAATATTTGTCATGCTGATTAATAGGTCAGAAATGGTATTTTATTGTTTTATATGCATCTGATTACATCAAGGGAACTTTTTATGTTTTTTGGTCATTCAGATTTCTTAGACTATGAACTGTTTGTTTATGTTTTCTGCTTATTTTTTTTCCTTGAATTTTCTTACTGTTATTGTAGTTCTTTATAATCCAGTCCTTTTTTATTTGTATATATTCAGATAGTACCTCATATTTTGTCTAGCCTGTTGTCATTTGTCCTCCTTAGTTTGTAATTCCAGCCTTTTTTATCCTGTTGAAAAACTGATGTGTTTCTCTTTGAGTGTCTAGATGAGAACACTAGAAGAAATTCCTTGATTATAGATACTGTGAGATGTTGTTGACATTGCAGAATCTTTTTGGTATAAAGAAGTAAAATCTTTATGGTTTTGCTTATCCCTCTAAGTTAACTGTTAACTTAAATTTTGTGCTTTGAGATTCTGTACTTTAAAAAAAAAATCCTCACCTGAGGATATGCTTATTGATTTTAGAGAGGGGGGAGGAGGGGGGGAAGAGAGAGGTAGAGAGAGAGAGAGAGAGAGAGAGAGAGAGAGAGAGAGAGAGAGAAACATTGATCTGAGAGAAAACATCAATCGGTTGCCTTCCATAGGTGTTCTATCTGGGGATCAAATCCTCACTATACAGGATGATGCTCCAACCAACTGAGCACACTGGCCAGGGCAATTCTGTACTTTTATTTTATTCATCATTTTAATTTTTGATAGTATAGTTGATCATATTACTAGAAACTAACATTTAGCTCTTTCCATTCTTCTCCATCTAATTGTCATCATTACTTCTAATAATTGCCACTATTATTTCTAGCATTTTCTGACCATCTAAGTAAGGAAAGCATGTCAAACTCAAAGACTAACATGGGCCAAATAAACAAGGTTTAAGTTTATGTGGGCCGCAAAAAAAACAAAAGCTTCAATTTTCATAGAAACATAGATTTATTTCGATAGAGAATGCTGAATACAAAGGGCTAAAATAAATGAGTAATCATTAACATAAAATAATAGAACATTTTAATAAAAATTAATATTTTTTCTTAAACATTAACTTACCAGACACTGAATAACTGCACAAATTAATAAGTGTAAGGCAAATAAACCTATTTTTCTTGTTCTCTGAAAGTGAAATATTTTCCTGTTGCACACACCAAACAAGTCAGTCCAAGACTAATAACGTGGCAATAGGCTGCTAAAATATTTGTTGCTAAGTATTAGTGGAGAGAAATGGTGCGCCTTGCACGTAGGCGCGTAAGGGAAATGAATGCAACATGATTATAGTAATCAATCATTAGTGAATGTTGTAGTTTGTTATTAATAATATGTATAACAGGATATTGGAAAATTAAGTTATGAAATTTTTATTAAAATGTTTCTTACTAGTACATACCGATGTATTGGCTGGGCCGCGAGTTTGACATACTTGATCTAAGGTAAGGTCAAGTTAAGAACGTCTAGTACTAGTATGTGGTTTTGAAGCACCCTTTACCTTCATCTCACTTACCTATATTGATATTGCTTAAGCGTCTCTCCCCTTTCTCTAGACCAAAATTTCTTTGATGGCAAGGTCTATGCCTGGTTTATTCATTAGTGCCCAGACTAGTGTTGGGAACACAGGAGGCCCCAGAATTGTGACTAGACTACCAGCATCTCTTTACTGATTTTTGCTACCATCTTCTCACTGGATTCCTACCTCTAATCTTTTTTTAATTTAAATTCTTTATTGTTTAAAGTATTACATAAGTCCCTTTTTCCCCCATCGACCTCTCTCTGACCACCCCGACCCCCCAACACATACCTGCCCCCCCCATCTGTGTCCATTGGTTATGCTCATATGCATGCACACAAGTCCTTTGGTTGATCTCTTACCCCCTTACCCCTCACCTTCCCTCATAGGTTGGACAGTCTGTTCGATGCTTCTTTGACTCTGGTTCTATTTTTGTTCATCGGTTTATGTTGTTCATTATATTCCATAAATGAGTGAGATCATGTGATATTTATCTTTTTCTGACTGGCTCATTTCACTTAGCATAATGCTCTCCAGTTCCATCCATGCTGTTGCAAATGGTAAGAGTTCCTTTTTTTTTAATAGCAGCATAGTATTCCATTGTGTAGATGTACCACAATTTTCTAATCCACTCATTTGCTGATGGGCACTTAGGCTATTTACAAATCTTAGCTATGGTAAATTGTGCTGCTATGAACATAGGGGTGCATATATCCTTTCTGATTGGTGTTTCTGGTTTCTTGGGATATATTCCTAGAAGTGGGATTACTGGGTCAAATGGAATTTCCATTTTTAATTTCTTGAGGAAACGCCATACTGTTTTCCATAGTGACTGCACCAGCAGTGCAAGAGGGTTCCTTTTTCTCCCCATCCTCTGCAGCACTTGTCATTTGTTGATTTGTTGATGATAGCCATTTTGACAGGTGTGAGATGCTACATCTAATCTTGCTCTTCACTTTCTCCTCTGCTCTGAAATGAGTTTGCTCTTTGTGTAATACGAAGCCAGTCTCCTTCATGGCTCACTGTTGCCCCAGCATAAAACCTTAATAGCGGTTTAAAATGGTTTATGTGGCCTAGTTCCTGATTATTGTACAACCTAATCTCTTAACCATTGTTTGTTTATGAGTCTCAATTTTAGTCAGTCCGAATTACTTTAAGTTCCCTCAAAGTGCTATATTTTTACTTTCCTCTGGGGTTTTGTGAGCATGCTGTTGTTCCTTAGATCTGAAGTGTCTCTGTGCCTTTTCCTCCCACAAAAGAAAATGAGGCTTATTTTTTCTCATCCTTAGTCTAAGACTGCACATATTAACTTACTAGGAAGTCTCTAATCCTTCATTGTGAGAGGTGTTTTAATTATGTGTGGCTTTAGTGCTCTGTAGTTTTATCTTCAAAGCATTTGTCAGTTACTTGTTCATTATCTATATTCCTATTTTATAGGCTAGCAAGGTTAGAGTTGGGCATATTGATTATTATATCTTCTGTTTCCAGCACAGTTGTAATTCATAGTAGGCTTTTTTTTTTCATCCTCACCCAAGGGTATGTTTTTAATTGATATTTAGAGAGAGGAAGGGGCAGAGAGAGAGGGGAGAGAGTGTGAGAGAGAAACATTGATGTAAGAGAAACACCGACTGGTTGCTTCCAAATACATGCATTGGTTGGGGATCAAACCTGCAACATTTTGCTGTATAGGATGATGCTCCAATCAACTGAGCCACCCAATCAGGGCCAAAGGAGGCACTTAATAGTAGCATTGGGTGAATGTTACTTTAGACCAGGGGTCCTCAAACTTTTTAAACAGGGGGCCAGTTCACTGTCCCTCAGACCGTTGGAGGGCCAGACTGTAGTTTAAAAAAAAACTATGAACAAATTCCTATGCACACTGCACATATCTTATTTTGAAGTAAAAAAACAAAACGGGAACAAATACAATATTTGTATTTGCATGTGGCCCGCGGGCCGTAGTTTGAGGACCCCTGCTTTAGACATTATTTCCTGAAAGTTGCAGAAGAGCGTCTTAAGAATGTTTTAAATATTTGTCCAAGGTTGCAACTGAGTCTCAGATATGTTATTTATGGTGGGATTATTTTTAAATTATGACCTCTGAAAATATTTTGTTTCAGTCCAGACTGCTGGAAAGAGAATTGAATCCATACTGGAAGGATGGTGGGACCGGTCTTCCACCAGAAGACTGTACTACGTCATCAGTTACTAAAGGTATGTATATTTTTGTAATAGCCACACAGGCATTTCTTATAACTTGGCAGCTGATCAATGATTATCTCATAAAGCTTTTAAAGGGCCTTTCTTTCCTCCCCTTCATGACATGCTTTCAACACTTCCCTCTTCCATATTGTACTTACTTAGAAAGGAAAGATGACAGAAAACTATGTCTGTCAGAGGTTCAGATCCCAAAGTTGAAATAAAGTTTTAAGACATGATCTGGTCCTAGCTGGTTTGGCTCAATGGATAGAGCGTCAGCCTGCAGACTGAAGGGTCCTGGATTCGAATCCAGTCAAGGGCACATGCCTAGGTTGTGGGCTTGATCCCTTGTAGGGGGTGTGCAAGAGGCAGTCGATCAATGATTCTCTCTCATCATTGATGTCTCTCTCTCTCTCTGCCCTCCCTCTCTGAAATCAGTAAAAAAAAAATTATTCTATTATTTTTTTTTTTTCCACCCCCCCCCCCCACCCCACACACACGTGTGTGTGTGTGTGTGTGTGTGTGTGTGTGTGTGTGTGTATGAAATGATCTGCAGACTTTACTGCATATGCAGATAGTGTGGTCTTTCTGTTTAGACCAATGGTAGAGCTGAAATGGTTAGGCACCAAAAAGTTTATTAGTATTGAGGTATGTAGAGGTCACATGCTATTGTAGGTAAGGACTCAGACTTTGGAGTTAGGGTTCTTGGGATTAGAACTGTGTATTTTCACTTACTCGTTTCATGAATTTGGGAAAATTTCCTGATCTCTCTGAGTCTATTGTACTCATGTGTAAGTACCTATCATATGGTTATTGTGAGGATTAAATGAGAAAATCTGTTAGCATAGATTTAGTAATAAATCTATTATTACTAAATAATAGTAAATACTCAATAATGACAATGTCAAATAGTACTTTTCCTTACAACTAAATGTTCTGGGAAGATTTTATCAACAGTATTTTTGTAATGATTGAGGTGCCATATTTTTAGTAATTAATGAGTTAATCTTTATTTTTCTTTTTTTGGACAAAATTAAGTGGAAAAGTATTTTTTAAAAAATATATTTTATTGAATTTTTACAGAGAGGAAGGGAGAGGGATAGAGAGTCAGAAACATCAATGCGAGAGAAACATCCATCGGCTGCCTCCTGCACACTCCCCACCAGGGATATGCCCGCAACCAAGGTACATGCCCTTGACTGGAATCGAATCTGGGACCCTTGAGTCCACAGGCGGACACTCTATCCGCTGAGCCAAACCAGTTAGGGCGAAAAGTATTTTTTTAAATCATTTTTTATTGATTTCAGAGAGGAAGGGAGAGGGAAAAGAGAGAAACATCAATGATGAGAGGGAATTATTGATCGGCTGCCTCCTGTACGCCCCCAACAGGGGATCGAGCCCTTAAGTGGAAAAATGAGTAAACTTTCAGTATCCATACAATATTATTTTAAATCATATTTTAGTAACAGGAATATCTGTACATTTTAAAGTTTACATGGCACATTTACAAATCAGCTTATTTTCATAGCAACCATGTGAAGATAGCAAAGTAGATGTTATTGCCCACTTCTGTAGTTCAGGGAACTAAAGCTGTAGTTCAGGGAACTAAAGCTTAAAGTGGCCAGGTTTATTTGCTCTAGTTCTGTGAGCAGTAGTAGAACCCAGGTTTCTGATTTCTAGTCCAGGGTTAGTTACTCTAGATTCTTCATTAGAAAACTATACTTGTTACTATGTAGTTACTATGTAGAAAACTAGCTTACAAAAACTTGCTTACAAAACTCCTGGTAGTTTCTCTTCTTATAGATTTCCTCCCTCTTTTTTTTAGATTCTCTTTTAGAATCTTTTGAGTTGGAAAAAATGTCAAAGGTGGTTTAAATCAGCTGCCTTTATATTACAGAAAAAGAAACAAACTTCCAAAGAAGTCAATGACTTGCTTAAGATCTTTAAACTAGTTAGTAGCAGCAGCAAGACTAAAAAATCTAGGTTCTCTTGATCTTTAGTTTATTGCTATTTTAATATTATCCTGTCTTCTAAGAAAAATGGGGAATGCAGCACGGATTCATTTGGTTATATTTAGTCTATAATAATATAACTTAATTATGATGGAAGCATACATTTTTTCAGTCTCTTAATTTTTGACGTATAAAAATAATTTCAGATACAGGAATATATTAAGTGCTGCATACCAATGAACTTATTATAACTATTGATATATTTTTATCTCAACATAGAGGACAGGAGCTATGTCTTATTCATGTTTTTATTCCCTACTTGTGCAACAAATTTTCATATTCATAGTAAATTTCACTAAATATTTGTTGGATTGAATTTCAAGATTGATGTTGCTAACAAATTGGTATTTTTTTATTTGCTTTTTAAATTCTGAATTTGGTAATTTCTCTTGTTAAAAATATTGTATTTTTGCCATCTCTAATCATAAGATTAATAAGCCCATTGAAATAGAATATATAATCAACTGAAGGTAACATTATTATAAAAATATTTCTAAAATTGTGTATTTGACTAATGACTGAATTGAATGAAAATTATTACTCCTGTTTTCATAATTGTCAACATAGAGGAATTAAAGCAGTGTTATTTTTTCTCTGAGATTTTTTTTTCCCTCTGAAAACTGTTAATATATTGGTGATTGTTCAGGAAATTTTTATTGTGCCCATCAGTATTTTGTCAGTTTCACAAATCTTTGGAATAAACAATTTAATTACATAGTTGGGACATTAACATAAGTTTAATTAAAAGAGGTTTCTCTTATCACTGTATAAACTGCAGATTTAGACTAACTTTCTGAGTAGTTACATCGTTAATTTTGAGCTCATAGACTAGATAAGCAAGAAAGAGCAAGAGCAAAAGAAACTTGAATAAAAAGTGAATTATTGAGTTAACTAGAGATCTAGGTTTTGAAGTACAAAGTATTTTAGACCTGTAAAGAAAGACCCATTATCTTAGAACAGTAAAGATAAACTCAGATTTGAATGAGGAACTTGAATTTGAGGGTTGAAAATTTGCTTTTTCTTTAACCTTTTTTATTGACATTTAACACTTACAGAAAATTACACAACCCTTAAGTATACAGACTGATCATTTTCACAAAGTGAAAACATTTGTGTTATCGGCACACAGTTTGAGAAACAGAACATTATTAGCATTCCAAAAGCTCCTTTTGTGGTCATTCTAGTCCTTATGCTGTTACCAGAAGAGTAACAACTATTCTGATTTCTAGCACCAAAAATCAGTTTTTCCTGGAATCATACACTATGTCCTCTTTTGTTTTCTGCTTCTTTGTCCACATTTTAAGATTCATCCATGTTTGTATAGTTGTAGTCACTCATTCTCATTACTATATAGTATTTATTTTAGAAATATATCATAATTTAAGGGGACATCTATAATGCTTTCAATAATAAAGATTAAAAAAATATATATCAATTTATAATATATATCCATTTAACTAATGATAAACATATGGGTTATTTTCTAGGCTGAGATTACGGCAGATTCTTAATGATTCTTGTACATGTCTTTTGGGATCTGTGTTGTATGCATTTTATTTGGCTGTAGAATTGGGGCACTGTAAAGTAATCTGCTATTTGGACAAGAAAAATCAGGAACAGAATTTTGACTTAAATAATTGATTAGATTTCTTTTTAAAAATATATATTTTTATTGATTTCAGAGAGGTAGGGAGAGGAGGAGAAGGATAGAAACATCATTGATGAGAGAGAATCATTGATTGGCTGCCTCCTGCATGCCCCACACTGGGGATCTAGCCCACAACCTGAGCATGTGCCCTGACTGGGAATTGAACCATGACCTCCTGGTTCATAGGTTGACGTTCAACCACTGAGCCATGCTGGCTGGGCTAGATTTCTTATTTAAGTGTATCAAAGTGTGATATGTATAGAAGGAAATATAAGTAGCTTAATAAAGTTGATTGAAGACATTCAGATTTTCATAGTGGTAATCGTTAGTAATGTAGAATAGTTTGATTTGATATACATTTAAGCATTATCATCTATAATTTCCATATTTGTTTTTGTGGTATATTAGAGGTACTTTTCCCTCTCTATGTCTGTACCTTTGTTCCTTATTTATTTCTGGGAATTCCATGCCTATTCTTAACTCTGTTTGAAGAAATCCAACTTTTTTTGAGCCTGGTTTGTGAAATTTTTCCTTACCTTCCATTTAAAAATACTCCTTCCCTTTTAAAATTTTTACAATAATTCTGTCTCTTTGTATTTAGCCAATATTATCTTTATTGTTATTACTTATATTCCTTTATTTTCATCTCTTAGATTGCAGTTTTTTGAGGATAGATTTATTTATTTTTCTTTCCTCATAGTCACAAACTCTGTACTTTGCATATATAGGCATGCAAATATATGGTAAATTTTAAATGCATTTATGATTTTTATGTTAAAAAATGTTTAATTTTATTTTAAAGTCATTTTAGAAGTAATAAATATTAATTCTGTTATACCACATGAAAAGTATAACTGACATTTAATATTGAAATTTAGTTTCAGTAATAGAAGATGGTGGATTAAGCTGGCTAAGGAAGTCTTATCAAAGAATGAAGGAACAAGCTGAGAAACAGAATAGAAATTTTGAAGACATTGTAGCTGAAAGATATGGGGTAAGTATTCATATTAAGGAGATATGTGTTATTTTTAGAGTTATGTGGGAAATTAAGTTCTTTAACTTAGTCAGTGTTTTGTGCCATGAAACACTTTTGAATTGACTTGGTATTAAAGTTTAAATTTATGTACTATTGAAGCCATTTTCTGCTTTTCATTATTATATAAACTTATGTACCATTTTTATTGACATAATGAATATAAAACTTAAGTACTTAAAATTTAAGTATGTGCGAGTTTAATGTAAAAATAACATTTTCTCATTATGAAGGAAAATAATACAGGAAAGCCTCCATAGTATACCTTTGGAGATAACCATTGTTGAAATTTTGTTATATTTTAGTTTCCCCCCCTAGAGTTTTTACTATATTTCAGCATTTTGGAATACAACTGTTTTTTACAAGTATATACATATGTATATGTGTATGTATGTGTGTATACAGGGGTGGGCAAACATAGGTTTACAATTGTGAGTACATGAAACAGTTTATTCTTATATTATTTTTAATTATGAATTATTTTTCATATAAACAACTGTCCTTTTTTCTTAATGTCCTTTTTCCTTAATTTCTGAAAAAAAGCAGGTTTAGATAGTTGTAAGAATTCGAAAATATAGGCTAGCAAAAAGAAAAAAGGAGAGAAAAGTTATTCTTTGTTTAAAATACGTAATCTTTATTAATATTTTGACACAAAACCTTTTTGAGATAAAGTAAATTGTTTTATTAAATTAGGCTTATCGTTTTATTAAATAGCTTTATATATCCTGCTATTTTCACTTGCTAATAAGACATAATTGGATATCAGTAAATATATTCATTTTAATGACTTCTTAATTTTTAAATATATTTGAATGGTTTTACCTTATTTAATTGTCAGTGAAGAGACATATATATGTTTTTATTTTTTTCTCCTGTTAAATAGCACTGTGCTGACCATCTTTGTACAATCCATTTTGTATATTTATTTGGATATCTTTTTTTAAATACATTTTATTGTTGGGTTAATTTGCATACTCCTGATTGTCTGGTTAGCGTAGCGAAGGTATGGTCAATTTACATGTTTGTCTATTATTAGGTAAGACTAGAGGCCCGATGCACGAAATTCATGCAAGAGTAGGCCTTCCTTCCCCTGGCTGCCAGCACCGGCTTCCCTCTGGCCCCCGGGACCCAGGCTTCCCTTGCAGCCCTGGCTTCCTCTGGTCTGATTAGCATATTACACTTTTGTTATTCTAGATTGCTCACTGTATTCCCTATGCTGTACTTTACATCTCTGCGACTATTTTTATAACTGCCAATTTGTACTTCTTAATCCCTCCCCCTTTTTCACCCATCTGGCAACCATCAATTTGTTCTCTGTATCGATGAGTCTATTTTTGTTTTGTTTGTTCATTTATTTTGTGTTTAGATACTACACATAAGTTAAATCATCTGGTATTTGTCTTTTTCTTTTTGGCTTAGTTCACTTAGCATGATACCCTCTAGGTCCACCCATGCTGTCAGAGATGGCAAGATTTCATTCTCCTGTTTGATCATGGCATTTCCTTTAATTAGTGAATTTACATCTTTATGTCCTTTAGTTTTCTTTTTATGTTATTTTTATTAAGTTTTGATAGTAGGAATAATTATTATTGGATTGTGACATTTTATATAATTTCTTAATACTTTAGAACAGTTAATCATCAAATGAGACATTTTGACATAGTAGTTAAAAACTTTGGCTTTGGCCCTAACTGGTTTGGCTTAGTGGATAGATCGTCGGCCTGTGGACTCAAGGGTCCCACGTTCGATTCCGGTCAAGGGCATGTACCTTGGTTGCGGGCACATACCCAGTGGGGAGTGTGCAGGAGGCAGCTGATTGATGTTCCTCTCTCATCAATGTTTCTAGCTCTCTATCCCTCTCCCTTCCTCTCTGTGAAAAATCAATAAAATATATTAAAAAACAAAAACAAAAAACTTTGGCTTTGTGGTATATGGCTCTGAATTTCAATATCAGGTTTGTTACTTTATTGCTTTGTGACCTGGGCGTCATTCCTCCCCCCCCCCCCCATTTTAAAAACATGACTATTAGTATCATTTTCATAGAATTGTTGGAAATATTAATAATCATTTTAGTGCTTTACATGTGCTAGGCATTGCTAAAATACTGTGTGTGTAATTCACTTATTTAATACAACAATATAATTATTCTTGTTTTAGGAGGAAACTGAGACAGACACAGGTTAAATAACCAAGATTACATGGTCAATACGTAGATTTGAACTTAGGTATTGACCTTAGAGCCTACTTAAATTATGCAAACAATGTAATATAGTAAGCATTGGATAAATTGTGGTAATTGCTTTTTTGTTGTCTTTATTTATCATATTTTATTGACTCTAAGAAGCCACTAATTGTAGCTGTCAATGAGGAGGTGCTTTCATTATGAAAACATTTCCCCCAGCTTAGTGCCAAAATTTCTATTCTGTTTATGTTGTCATTGAATTTAAGGAATAGGTTAAATCTGTATTTTAAAAATAATAAAAAAAATAAATTTTATGGATTATCTCTGTCTCGTGCAAGGTAATAACTTCAGCATGTTTTGGTTTCCCATCTCACCTCTCAGATGTTATTGAAATAATTTGAAATTTTTATTCCAGTTTGTTATAGATTTAAAAATATGCACCTTATTCTTGACAATTGCATTAGACCTCACAACTACAAGAACAATTACTTTGACTTACTCGTTACATTCGCCATTTGGTTTATAGCATGCCTTCCTTTTTGCAGTGATTCTTACCCTAATTCATTTATGGTTTAGCTTACTGATCCTGAGTAATTTCCCGCCCACCCTCCAGTGATTTGCATTCTGATATTTTTGGCAGTTTTTGGAAATGATTTTTTTTTGGTCAGTACCAGGATAGGATAGTTTGTGAATTGAATTCTGTACATAGAATTATTGCCTTACAATTATTTTTAAAATTGATCTTTATTCCATTATTTATAGCATTTAGTTGTAGATGAGAAGTTAACAATCTTACTTTCTTTCCTTAGTAGGTAATGTGTTACTTGTTTGCCTATTCCCATCTGTTTACATGCCTATGCTTACTCCTTCCTTCCTCTGATCTAGTCTTTTTTAAGAATTCTTTTTTATGTGAATTTTGAGACTAGGGAATTAGGGTTTTTAATGCATGAGTCTTTTTTAAAAAAATTCATTTATTGTTGAAGGTATTACATATGTCCCCTTTCTCCCCCATGACCTCTCCCAGCCCGCCCCTGCCCCCCAATATAGGCCTTCACCCTCCTATTGTCTGTGCCCATTGGTTATGCTTACATGCATGCATACAAGTCCTTTGGTTGATTTCCTACCCGCCCCCACCCCTGCTTTCCCTCTGAGGTTTGATGGAATGCATGAGTCTTTTTATGCTTCACTTTCTTCCCTCTCTATGGATATCGGATGAGCACTTTGGAACTGGAAAATTAGCTAGGGAAATTTTCTTATATTATTACATTTTGTTAGTATTTTTTTCTATCTTTGCTCTTTCTTTCTGCAAGTATTAGTACATGCATGTTAAATTACCTTGAATTAAGTGTCCATGTTTCTTACGTATCTATTTACCATCTTTTCCTAACTGTAGAGAATTCCCAGGCTAGTGTTGAATTCACTAATTTGGATTCCATGCTTTCTATTTCTCCATGCACTGTATCTGCATGTTTATAGACACAGTTTTTATTTTCAAGTCTTTCTTGTTCTTGAACTCTGCTTTTCACATAGAGTTTGTATGTTTTAGCAGTGTAGCAACCTCTTGAATCTCAGTAACAGTTAGGAATTTTTAAAAAATTATTTCTTAACTATTTCCTGTATTATGTATTTTACTGACTCCTTTTCAGTTCCAAGATTTCTTTTTGATTTGGTAATTTTTCATTGATTAATTATATTTTAAAAGTATTTATTTTGGGTAGTGTATTAGTTTGCTTAGGCTGCCATAACAAAGTTCTACAGACTGGATGACTTAAATAACAAGTTTATTTTCTCACAGTCTAGGACAGGGTTGGGGAATGTCCGGTCCTCGGGTCGTATAAGGCCCATGAAATCATTTGGTCTGGCCCTGCCAAGGCATTAGGGGTGAGTTAATTAAATGTTTGACCAAGTATAGCAGGTTAATTTTTAAGCTGATAATTTTGTATGGCCCACAAATGACCTTATAAATATCCAAATGGTCCTTGGCAGAAAAAGTTTCCTTATCCTTGGTTTAGGAGCATGGAAGTCCAAGATGTAGATGTCAGCAGGTTTGGTTTCTTCTGAGGCCTCTCTTCTTGGCATGTAAATGACTGCCTTCCAGCTGTATCTCACATAGTATTTTCTCTTTGTGTGCATCTGGGTATCTCTGTGTGTCCACATTTCTTCTTATAAGGACATCAGTCAGATTGGGTTAGGGCTTAACCTAATGACCTCATTTTTACTTAGTCATCTTTTTAAAGGCTGTTTTCCAGTGCGGTCAGATTCAGAGGTACTCTTGGTTAGAACTTCAACCTGTGACTTTGGTGGGGGGGAGGATACAATTTAGCCCACATCAACTAGGATGATCGTGTGTGTGTGTGTGTGTGTGTGTGTGTGTGTATTTTACCTCTGTTGGATTTTTCTTTCATTGTGCTAAATAACAGCGCATCATGGCCCAGTAGAATATGGGGTACAAATCATTGAACCTTTTAAAATTTTATATATCTTGTTTACTTTTTCTCCTTTTTAGTCAATGGAAATATTTCAGTCGAAATTAGAAGAAGCTGAAAAAACTGCATCCACAAAAGAAGACTGTAGACAAGAACGCTGGGAGGAAGCCAACGTATTCAGATAGAGCACTAAGTAGTCAAGAAGTAGAAAATCAGACTTGACAAAATATAATAAAAGTTTAAGGGATAGGCATAGTTCAACAGATATTACAAAAAATAAAGATAAGTTTTATGGAGATGAAAAAAATAATAGATCTGGGTCTTCAGAAACATATAGAAGAGACTCCAATTCAAGGCAAAGTCAAGAGTTTTCTTCTCTTGGAAATTTGAGACCTAAATTTATAAGGCCCTCAGATGATGAACTGTCATTTCATCACATGGGCAGGAATGTTGAATCTAGTTCACCCTCAGCACTGGCCACTCAGGGTTCTGTGCGTTGTGGTTTTCGAAAACCGACAGAGAACAGCGAAGAAAATTTATCATCACGGAGTCGCTCTGATGAGAGAGAAGGAGAGAGGAAACATTCAAATCGAAATCCATTGGAAACCAGTCACAGTGTTGACTATCGACATATCTCAGAAGATGGAAGAGAGAAATCACACGATGAAAGCTTGAGGGATGACTCTCTGAGAAAAGAACATCTACAGGACACAAAGTCTTCATTTTCAGGGTATTTTGTCATTTGTTTTTAAACCAATAAATTAACATTAAGGTCCAGAGGATTCAACTGACTGAACTGTATTTTTAGAACATCAGTTATTAATTAGGTGTGAGTTGTGATCTCCTGTTTCTTAAATTTGATGGAAAAGATATGTGCATTTAACAATTCAGTAGTTTCGTTTTATGGATTGCATTTCATTTCATAGTTTTATTTAACAAAAAAAGCTGGAAGAATTCAATAGCTATATTTGCTTAAAATTTGTTGCTTTTTTGCAACCTAAAAAACTGAATGAATTAATAATCTTTTTAAATGGATATGCTACAGGAAATACTTTGGTGTATTTTGTTACTGTTTCCATATTACTTTCAAAGGAAATTATTCCATTGTTATGAATAATTATAATTCTAAATATCGCATGCCTACTGGAGGTCTGGGAGACTAAAGGAAAATATATTGCTTTAGCCCAAATAAAAAGTGACAAAGGAATATGAAAGATCCTGCACAGGGAAGCATGACTGTATGGTGGTGGTTTTACAGAGAAAAAATAATCCACTTTGATACTTGAGAGGTTTTAATACGAATGTTAGAGTTTTCAGAGCGAAATATGGGTAAAATAGTGGTTGTATCTGTAATGATTAGGGAAATAGGTAGTATTTACTGGTTTTATTATTCTTGTACATATTATTATGCTTACATATAGGTCTGGGTTAGTAGAATAGGAAACCCAGGTAGAGTGTACTTAGACCTAGGAAAACTTGATTTAGCATAGAGGTAGGCTTGTAGGAGATAACCATAAATAGAAAATGAATATCCAAGGATAGTGACTTAAATATACTCGAATAATCATCAAAATATGTTTAAAAATACCACCCAATGAATGTGACATGAAAGGAAGAGGTTTTAGGCAATAAAAGAATTCAGTGGTGGCAGTAGTGGGTTTAAGCATTGTGTTCAGGGTCATGAGTGGTAAATCATTTTTGTTAATGGCTCCATCTGAAGCTGTGGATTTAAAGCACAGTGTTGCTTTAGTGGGAGTAAGCTGGCAGAATCTGGACTGATGGGAGGCCAGTCAGATGGGCGCTGGTTCAAGTCAGAGCTTTGCTCCCAGGAACGAAAGGAGGAATCTAGTTGTGTTGACTTTATAAACATGGCAGGGATAGAGAATGTCTAAGGTTGTGTGCGTGTATAATTGTCCAGGCTTTACTCCAGGTTCTCAAGGGGGTAGACTACTCCAGTTTCCATTTGCTAAGAGGCACATAAATGCGAAGATACTTATAAGTACAGGTAGTTAACTGTTATAGTATTTACATGCAAGGAGTGATTGACTCTTCTGAGATAAGATTAGGAGGAATGGAGTCCCGGAAAGTTGTGTAGGGAAAGGTAGCGAGCTCTTGAAGGAAAACTCCTTAGGCAGTAAGTGGGAAAGGGCAACCAACATGGAGCTGGGGGTGGGGAAAACATGGACAGAGATGGAGTGGTATAGTTCAGGATTTGCAAATAGTATTTTGGAAGGTGGATGCAGTAGCTACCTGAGGGGAGGGTATATCTCTTCCTAGGTTTTGCATCTTTAAATCCTGTTAGAATGCTTAGCACATATTGGCCTCTCTATTGAATGAGAGGAAATGGTAAGCAGATATTGCAAATATTGCCTTTTTATCCTGTAAATGGCTCCAGAAGCATGTTTATGAATTGGGCAGTATCCTATAGTGATAGGGAAGAAGTATCTCAAGGATTTAAAATAGATCAGATTTGGATTTTAGAAAGATTCCAAGGTGGTGTGAAGGTTAGTTTGGGAAATGGAACAGATTTAAGGCTGATATACTGGTGAGGAGGCTATGGCTGAGAGACAAGCAGTCATGAGCCAGAGGAGTGAATGTGGAGGAGAGGAGGAGTTTGACTCAGTGATGAAGCTTTTCATTCTGTGGCCTCTTGAAAGGACTTGGTTACTTATCTGTGCACCAGCTCTAGACAGTCTTTGTTAAACTGTTCTTGAAGAGACTTCACATTGGATTTGAAGCATGATGCACAAAGAACTGATGGGAGGATTCCTCTTTGACTCAGTGTTTGGCTTTCATTGGCAAAGGGACTAACCATTCTTGAGCACCAGTTTAAGTGCTGTGTTTGGACTGTTTGTTTCTTTTATTCATTCAAATTTGAAAGAAGTATCTGGTCTGAAGGGGAGGTTATTTTTGTATCTGAGATGTCCCTTGGAACTTAAATTAGATAAATTTACAATTTTTTTCTGCTATTATATTTCTGTAATTATATTACTGCAATTGCAGTAATTTATACATTATTGCATTTAATTCAATAACGTGAAGGTAAATATTAATCATTTTCTCAATCGATAGCCTCTGAGAGGTTAAGACACATGCTTAATCATAAAGCGAGTAAATGGCAGAATCCATGTGAATCTGACTGCAGAACTTCTTTTCTCATAATACTAAGAGGGATTTCTCATTTCTTGAAGGGGTGATGGTGCAAGATAACAATTAGTGCTGTAAAGAAAAAGCTTTTAGTGCTTCATGAAAAGCTTGCATTAGGAACTCTTAGAATTTAGTAATCTGTTTTTAGATATTTAGACTTTTATTTTGACCCATATCTATTAGTAGGCATGAATCTGTTCACATTTGATACAGTTTATTAACATCCTAAAATCTTTGTCTTCAAAAGGAGATGGACAGATGGATGCCTTTTGGCCTTCATTCTTCTGATCCTATCAAACTTACACTTGCTTGGAGGATGGCTTATTTTCGAAATAACTGAACTCATTAAGAAATCCTATATGTACTGTGTCTAGATTACGTGAGCATATACTGGATTAACAGAAAGGGTTAGAGAAATATTGGGGAAACCACCCCCTTACTCATTTTATTTTTCCTTTGTTTTTTAATTTTTTCAGTTGGATGGTGTTGAGATGAAAATTAGTGAACTAGAACATAACTTTGTAGGAAGAAAACAAAACAAAATACCTGGTCAGGTACTTAAACACTTTGCAGTGAATAAAGGCAGGAAAAAGAAGGAAAAACATCCAGGAAGTTTTTCACTTACGAAGCTAGGCAGTTACAGCAGATGCTAGAGCAAGCTGACTTCATGGGGGAATAATTGCACTGATACTCTTTAGAAAGGGAATGACTGTTATTTAATTTGTTTTATAATACATGCAAACATTTCAAATTTCATAAAGGACAACAATAAATTTTCAAAGCAGAGAATTTTGGAAAATTAATTGAATGGGAAAGAATGCAAATTGAGAAAAGTGTTTATAAGTAAGTCAAAATTTTTATTGAAATATGATTGGATTGCTTGAAATGCAAATAAATTAAATTCACAATACAATAGAAATGACTTGTACCTCAGAATTTAATTTAAAAAAGTGATTGAAAACTTTTTTCCATACAAAAGGTACAACTAATAATACAAACAGTACCTCAGTCAACAGAAGCATATAAAAAGTGATAAAGTTCTTCTGCTTACACAATGTAGTGCCCCTGCTGTGTGTCTTAATTGCTTTTTGAAATGTAGACTGAACTTGAGGGGAACAAAAATATGTTATTTTCTAATGGTGCTTTGCGTGAAGTATTTTAGATTTCTTAGTCTAAGCACCAGAGTATTGCCTTTCCTTTCACCATTATGAGTAGAAATGGCTCATACAGGATTTCTGCAGAGATTAATGCCTTTAAAAAAACACACAACCTCAAGTGTTGTCTATTAAAATACTTTATTTTTTATCCCAAGGGAATAATTTTTATATATGGTTGTTAGGTCAAGTTTTAACTTGGAGGTCTTTTCTATTACTTGTTCAGAGTGTATGTTGGAATTTCAGGTTAATTTCATACAGTATGATGAAATCTAGTAATTTGGGGAAACTAGTAATCCATAGATATGCTCTTTATATTTGAGATTTATGACAGTTATTTTTCTGCTTTTTAAATTTATTATCACAGACCTTTGAGGGTTTTAAAAATAATTTTACTGAGGTATAATTGACATATATACTATAAAGTGTACAATTTGGTAAGTTTTGAAATAGTATATTCTAGTGAAATCATCATTCTAAAAGGTTTCTTGGTACCTTTTCATAATTCCTCCCACCCCATACCTCCCAACCCCCTTAGCCAACCATTCATCTTCTTTATTTTTTTAAAGACTTGTTTGCATTTTCTGAAGTCTTATATACATGGTATCATTTGTCATGCACTCTTAGTTTTGTCTGTCTTTAAAAACAATATTTTTATTTATTTCAGAGAGGAAAAGAGAGGGAGAGAGAGAGATAGAAACATCAACAATGAGAGGATCATTGATCCGCTGCCTCCCATGCACCTTAGCTTTGAATAGAATATACCTTTAACTTACCTACCCTCTAGTGATGTTAGACCACTCTTGTATGGTATAGGAACTTTACAATAGTTTGTTTAAATTTCTCTTCTCCTGTCCTTTCTGTTACTGTTGTCATACATTTTATTTCATAACCCCCTCATATATAATTACTTTTGTTTAAATAGTTACCTTAAGGAGATTTAAGTAAGAAGAAGAAAAGTATTAAATATCTACTCTTTTTTTTTTTTAATATATTTTATTGATTTTTCACAGAGAGGAAGGGAGAGAGATAGAGAGTTAGAAACATCGATGAGAGAGAAACATCGACCAGCTGCCTCCTGCACATCTCCCACTGGGGATGTGCCCGCAACCCAGGCACATGCCCTTGACCGGAATCGAACCCGGGACCTCTCAGTCCGCAGGCTGACGCTCTAGCCACTGAGCCAAACCGGTTTCGGCAAAATATCTACTCTTATAGTCATGATTTCTGTCGCTCTTCCTTTGGGTTGATCCATATTTTAGTCTGGTATAATTTTTCTTCTGCCTGAGGCTTCTCTTTAACATTCTTTCAGCTTGTTATTTCTGAAAAAGTCTTTATTTCACTTTTGTTTTTGAAAGATATTTTCACTTGACATAGAATTCTAGGTTGGCAGTTTAAAGTACTTTAAAGACGTTGTTGCTGTCTTGCTTACATTGTTCCTGATGAGAAATCTGTTGTAATACGTACCTTTTTTAAAAATATATTTTTATTGATTTTTTTTAGAGAGGAAGGGAGAGGGATAGAGAGTTTGAAACATCGATGAGAGAGAAACATCGATCAGCTGCCTCCTTCACACCCCCTACTGGGGATGTGCCCGCAACCAAGGTACATGCCCTTGACCGGAATCGAACCTGGGACCCTTCAGTCCACAGGCCGACGCTCTATCCACTGAGCTAAACCGGTCAGGGCAGGTGGGCAGGTTTACTGATTTTTTCTTTTTTAGTCTAATGTTCCGTTAATCTTATCCAGTGTATTTTTTAAAAATCTCAGACATTGTAATATTTATTCATAGAAATTCAGTTTAATCTATTTTACATCTTAGTTGTTTCTAACATTTTGAACATATGGAATAGTTATAATAACTTTAGTGCCCTTGTTTGCTGTTTCTTACATCTGTGTCAGTTCTTGGTTGATTTTGATTGATAGCTTTTTCTACTAATGATGAGTCTAATTTTCTGTCTTTGTATACTTGGTAATTTTGATTGGATACTGGATATTATGAATTTTATTTTGTTGAGTGCTGATTATATTTGCATTTCTATAAATATTGTTGAGCTTTGTTTGGTGACATGGTGAAGTTAATTGGAAACAGTTTGATCCTTTGATTCTTGCTTTAACATTTGTGAGGTGAGCCCAGTGCAGCATATTCTAGGGCTTTTTTCCACTAATGAAGCAAAACCCTTCTCTTAATACTCTATCTTGTGCTTTCTGAATTGTGAGTTTTTCTTAGTCTGGCTAGAGCACTGGTTGGCAAACTCATTAGTCATCAGAGCCAAATATCAACAGTACAACGATTGAAATTTCTTTTGAGAGCCAAATTTTTTAAACTATATAGGTAGGTACATTGTTATTAACTTAATTAGGGTACTCCTAAGGCTTAGGAAGAGCCACACTCAAGGGGCCAAAGAACCGCATGTGGCTCGCGAGCCGCAGTTTGCCAACCATGGGGCTAGTGACCAGGCATTGTTCCTCTAACCCTTCTGGATGTTTCTTTTCTTGGCTGTGGGTAGTTTCTTGCTGAATACTTCAGGGGAACTCCCTGCAGCTCTCTCTTCTTTAGCTGTGTGGGAGTTCTTGGACTCGTAGCTATGTCTTCTTTACTGAGGAGTTAGACTCTTCCTGGGCTGCCCCTTCCTGCATTGTAGTTCAAATCTTTCTTAAGGTAGTAAGCCCGGGCAACTGTATGTGTCAGGAATCTGACATTGGCTTGAAATTTCTCTTTCTTCTGTGAAGCTTCCTTAGTATAATTTCATACATAATATTATTTGTAAATTAGTTTAAGTTGTGTGACTAATTCTGGGTTGACTTTGCAAAAGAGCACATTATCATTGTTTTTATTTTTTCAATGCAGTTAAATATGTCATTTCCTTGGGTTATAAATAATACCACATTGAGTATAAAGTTTCTTCAGATGAAATTATGGCCTGATTCTAGTGTTTTTATTAATTTTTATTTGTTTCCTTATTTTAGAATGAGTATGGGAATAATAATGAAGAATAGTTGACTTCTATATTATTTTACCTCATTGTTAATGGGACTTTGTTATTTTTATAACTGCCATAGGCTATCATGGCAATGTAACACAGAACCTTAAGCCAGCGGTCGCCAACTTTCGGGCCTCACTGACCACCAGTAGTCCACAGACCACCGGTTGGCGACCACTGCTCCAAAGGTTTCCTTAAACCAGTGGTCACCAACCTTTCAGACCTCACGGACTACCAGTGGCCCGCAGACCACCTGTTGGCGACCACTGCCTTCAACTACTAATTTATGGTGTGACATTGATATATATATCTGTACATCATGATCTATTTGTTGAAACTTTGGTGAGGTCAATTAAAGTAACATTTGAGTCTTGATGCTGTTATTTGCAGTGTACCTATATGTCACATGCTCTTAATCTGCCCTGTTCAAACAGAAGTCGCCCCGAGGATGAGTCCATCCACATCCTGAGTGTTGATGAGAAGAACAAGTTGGGAGCCAAGATTATCAAGGCAGAGATGATGGGAAATATGGTAAGACTTATATGTTCTTTTGGAGAACAGTAATTAAATATTTAACTCCTGATGAGTAATTTTCATATGTTGTTCTTTTGGAGAATAGTAATTAAATATTTAACTTCTGATGAGTAAGTTTGGAATTTTCCTTAGCAATGTGGACATAGCACATTTTGAGGATAACTGCTGCTTATTGATTCTTTAAAGAAATTGAACACTTCTAAAAACAGTACTGTTTGTCTACTTCTCAATAAATTACCTACTTTTCTCTGTCAGATTTCTGAAATTTAAGATCTTAGGGAACTAATGCTTTTTAATTTCTTTTCTACTTTGCTATGTACTTTATCCTTGCATTTCTAACTTACTGAGCTCAGATATCAGGGAGATAAAGATATCACTGACTGTTCCCTCTTTTTTAGTCATGCATTGTTAAGGACATGTATTACTTTCTTATAGTTTTTTACATAGGAACCTAAAATATGAACACTTCAAGAGGATGGTTAATTAATTTATTCAAATTTTAAGGCAATGTGTTTGTGCCTAATAGTGTTTTAGTTACTCTGTATAGGTTAGCTTATTTAACTCCTATAATAATGTTGTGATTTAAGACTCATTTACCTCAAAATGGAGTAGAAATAGGGATGATTTGATAAGAGCTGCATCTATCTATCTATCTATCTATCTATCTATCTATCTACCTACCTACCTATCTATTATATTGCCACATTGCTGTTATACTAATACATGTTATATTGCACATGGCAGATTAGCAAAGTCGGGTAGCCTTTTATGTCTTGACAGAATAGATTCATGGTCATATGTATGTACTCATCTCAAACACAAATATAAATGTCTCTGTGTTTATGTATTTCCTTCATATTCTTGTCTTCCCTAAAATATGTCCTCGGTATACTCTCAGTTCAGCACTCTATAGTAGAACTAAAGGTGGCCAAACAAGACACATATTTTTATTCAGTTGTGTGTCTGATAAAAGGCATATCTTATGTATGCTGCTCTCCCACTTTGAATCTGGTCTTTGGTAACACTGAACTTCAACTCAGAACTTTACCAGAAATTGGAAAGAGACAAACCAACAATAACAATAGCAAAAAAATAAAGTTTGAGTTCTGAAAGCACAAAGAATCAGTTAAAATAATGAAGGAGAGGTCACCAAGTTAGGAGGTTAACATGTTAAAGGAATTATTCCTGTGTTTATGGAACCACTGCAACAGAGTGCTATTTTTTGCTTGTCATATAAATTTGTTTATTTCTTTGTGATTTATTGTTTTGTCAGCTATCTACATATATAAAAGCCTAAGCGACTGTTATGACCGAATGACCAGAATGACTAGTCGACCAGTTGCTATGATGTGCAGTGACCACCAGAGGGCAAACGTTCAGCGCAGGAGCTGCCCCCTGGTGGTCAGTGCTCTCCCACAGCCAACCTCCTGTGGTGCCTCCCCCTGGCCATCTGCCCCCCCCCCCCCCCCCCCAGCCCAACCTCCTGCAACCCCTCTCCTCTGCGGGCCACCCTCCTGCGGCCCCTTCCCCCGGCCAGCCGGCTCCCCCATCGGCCCGGATCAGGGGGGGCCGGCCGGCTAACCTCCCACGGCCCCTCCCCCTGGCCGGCAACCTCTCATGGTTCCTCCCCCTCCTGGCCGCCGGTACCCCCGATAGGCCCTGATCCAGGGGGCCGACTGGCCAACCTCCCGGGGCCCCTCTCCCTGGCTGGCCAGCCCCCCTATAGGCCTTGATCGCTGGCCAGGCTGAGGGACCCCACCCATGCATGAATTTGTGCACTGGGCCTCTAGTTTTATATACATTTCTATATACTTTCTAGAGTAAAAATGAAATATATTCAGAGTTTTTATCTAAATTACTTATCAACAATAAAGAAGGTAATATTTTAAGTCTTGTGATGTCTCCCTTCGTACAAATAGGTGAGAGTTTGAGGATTGAAGTTGATAATATCTAAGAAACTATAAAAATGTCATTCTTAAAGTTATGTATTTCCTTTATCTTCTGATCTTCCCTAAAATATATATTCTTGTAATTATCTATTTTCAATGTATAAATAAACGCTGCAGGTATTTGAGAAGTTTGTCATGGAGATTGATTTGTTTAGAAGTAATGTACTGGGCTATGGTTTGGTAACTGTGTTTTTGTTGGTGGCTACATGGCTGTTTACTATGCTGCTTTTCTTTCTATTGTATACATTTGAAATATGACACAATGAGGGATTTAACTATGTATTCACACATATTTTTCTTGTTTTTCTGTTTGAAGGAATTAGCTGAGCAGCTTAAAGCCCAACTTGAAAAAGCAAATAAATTCAAAGAAACTGTATCATCAAAGAAATCTGGGATAGAGGTAAGTATTAAAAGTTAGGTTTGTAGGTATATGATTACCTTGTATAATACTACTCAGCAGTGGTAATATTTTAATATAAAATGTATCTAACTGTGTCTGTGTTTCGTGTGTGTGTATGTGTGTGTGCGCGCGCGCGAATGTGTATGCTTGTTTGCTTGTTTTTAAAATTTATTTTCATATGAATTGCCTTACATTCCACTAGTGTGCCTGATGGACAAAAGGCTAGGCCAAGGAGACCTGGTTTTATGGTGGACTCTGTCATTTACTGACTGTTTGATTTTGTGCAAGTCAGACTGGTTTTTAAATTCTTCCCCTAGAGAATGGGAGACATGCGTTTGGTGTCCATTTTATGTAAAACAAATTATTTTGTTCCATGATTCATTTGTCCATCTATTAGTGAACAAAACAGATAAAAACACCTGCCTGCATGGAGTTTCATGTGGGTAGGGAGAGAGACAATAAACAATAAAAATAATAAATTAGCATATAGAAAGTTATACATCCCAGGGAAAAGTGGGGGATCTTGAGTACCTGGTGTGCTGGTAGCTTGGGGTATACAGACAAAGTTCATTTGAAAAGTGACATCCATGCAGAGAAGTAAGTGAAGCAGAGAATCTCTGTGTCTGAGTGCAGAGCATTTTGGGCATCAGGAATTTTTAAAGGTCCAAAGATGGTAACGTGTCCGATGTGTAGGGAGAACAGGGAGACCAGTGTTGTTGGAGTTGAATGAATGAGAATGAAGTAGGAGATCTAAATCAGAGAGACTATTGGAGGCCAGTTCATGTTAAACTTGAAAGTCAGAGTAAGTAAATGGCCTTTTATTCTAGTTGAAATGAAAGCTATTAAGGGTTTTGAGCAAATAATATATTTTGACAGGACCAACCTGGCTTCTTTGTTAAAAATAAATTGAAGGAGAATAAGGGCAGGAATTAGAGTCTAGTTCGCTTTTGCAATAATACACATAAGAAATTATACTGTCTTTGACCAAGATAGTAGCTGAGAAGACTGCTAGAAGTGATAAGATTTTTGCATATGCGTAAATGTTTTCTGTACATATTTTGAAAGGAGAGCTGACAGATTTATGATGGTTTTGATGGACGGGGGAGTATGAGATAAAGCCATATCTTATTCATCTTTTTAGACACATGTATGCCTTTGGATTATATAATATAAAAATAATTCTGAATGTTACGGATTCATTGACTAAATAGAATGAAATGAATATTAAAAAATGAAAAGTCTGGTGTTTTTTATTTGCTATTTATAACAGTTATGGACATACCTTTTTAGATTGCTCACAGCTTCATTATTAAAGCCAGATAATCTCCAAAATATATTAAATTATCAGTTAAAATTTGGATTTTTTTGTTGGGTCCTTAATAAGATCCTCAAGCATTCTCAGTTAAAAGGTGGGCTAATTTTTTGTGTGTGTGTGTGTGAAAGATATTTTCCATAATTAAAAATCAGTTCACCAGTGAAAGAAGCATTGTCAACTTACTTTTTCCTTTCAAAAAGTGACAGTGTTTGGTAATTTCTTACTAATTCATTTTATTAGAGACATGGAGTAATAGAAGGAGCATATAATGGAAAGAGTATAGGGATAGAAATTGCATGCAGTTTTGAAGCCAAAGATCTAGAATTGGGCCTGGAGCTTTGTCACTTTTTGTTTGTGATCCTTAGTATCCTCATTAGTAAAATGTGCTTAATAATACCTGTGTTACAGGGTTGTTAAAATTAAATGAAGTATGTTTTAGAACTTTATACAATGATATCAATATTAACTTTAATCAGGAAAAATTATCTTGGTTTGTTATTGATTAGGAAAAATATAAGGCAGTTTTTAGATTTCACTGCTATTGTATGAAGTCTATAACATTTGCTGTTCTTAAATTTATATATTTTGTATCTGTCAAAATAACTAATTTTTTTCACATCTGAATGAATTCTATTTTTTAAAATATATTTTAATTTCAGAGAGGAAGGAAAAGGGAGGAGATAGAAACATCAATAATGAGAGAGAATCATTGGTTGGCTGCCTCCTGCAGGCCCCCCACTGGGGATCGAGCCCGCAACCTGGGCATGTGCCCTTAACGGGAATTGAACCTGGGACCCTTTAGTCTGGAGGTTGACACTCTATCCATTGAGCCAAACCGGCTAGGGTGAATTCTATTATTTTAATGTAAGAAAATTCTAAAATGTTAATCAACATTTAAAAAATTTTTAAACCTTCTCCTTGCCTCTGCCCACCCCCATCCTGGCAAATGCAGAAAAGAACCTGGTTAGAAATATAATTTAAATTTATATTCTCATAGGTAGCTTCTATGTAAAGATTACAAAGAAGCATTGATGTAAGAAGAAGAAGACTGAAGAACTGAATTGATTTTTCATATTATGCTAGAGCCAGATAATCTACTGGCTCTAGAAAATATCTGTTTCACAAAATTAAAATCTTTAGTGGCCCTGAATAATCCACTTTTAAAATTATGAAATAACTATAGTCTAGCCTTAAATATTATTTATAATTTTTAATAATGATCTTTACATGAATATTTAATTTTTTCAAGCTTGTACATGTTTCATATCCTGTCAGCAACTTTTTGAGAGAGAGGTTAGGCAGGTTAGTATATGCCAATTTGACAAGAAATAAAACTGAGGCTAAAATGAATGTGTGCCTTTATTTTAATTCTAGAGCATGCTGTAGAAGAATTTCAGGATTAACAAGATGACTTGAGCAACTTAAAAGATGTGGTTATGAAATATATTATCAGTTTGCATGGTGGTCTCTATAACCTAAAGGATTTGAAAAATTATTGAGCAACTTATAAGATGTGGTTATGAAATATATTATCAGTTTGCATGGTGGTCTCTATAACCTAAAGGATTTGAAAAATTATTGAGCAGCATTTCTGAGTTTATGAGTAGGGTAGGTACATTAATGCTTTGAGGCCTCCACTCTATGAAAACAGCAATCACAGCCAAAATATAAAATGAACAATTTGGAAGAGATATAACCTGGCTCAAAAATAAAGATACACTTCTCTGTGAATAGGAAACTGAACAGAAACATAAAACAATAGGGATCTGGAGCTTGCAGGGATCCAACTTCAGAGCTAGGCAGCGTGGCTGAGAATTGAGCTCATCTGATGTGACAGAGCTTAAAAGATCCCCTCACATGGCATCTCTATACCTGAACCAGGTTTCAGGGTTCCTGTAAATGAGTCTGGGAAACGCTTTGAATACTTAAGTCGGTAGCTCATAGGAAATTGTTTAAGATGGAAAGTATAGAGTAAGTGGACATAACCTTGCAGCCATGTGAAATATCCCCAATATCAGTGTGAAATATTGTAAGAACTGGGAATCCTGATAGGCTGAGTAGAGATAGTGTCAAAATTACCAGGTAGTAAGAGGTAAGAGTAGACAGAGACAGGAAGGAAGGGAAAACTCCCACGAGATAAGCTTGCATACCAGCATATCAGAAAACATTAGTTTTCCCTTAGAAAGATAGTAAAAAAATAATTGGGATATAAACACTCATTGCCAGTAAATTTAAAAATGGTAGCACAATCTTAAAATAGTTTTCAAATTAATTATGTTTAGTAGCTTCAGTTATGAGAACATAATCATAAAAGGAATAAGATATTATGAAATAAAAGCAAGCAAAAGTAAAGCAATAATAATGGATATGAAGTGAATATTCTACAAATTTTAGGGATGTGATGGGATAAATCCTTGGCAGGACCCAGTCAAAGAAAGAAAGAATTAATTAAATGAAAGGTAGCTAAAAATTAGAGCTAATATTTATCACTTACTTTTATACCTAGGCATTGTTCTAAATACTTGCCTGGTATTAGTTTATTTGATCCTGAAAACACCTTATTATTTTGTTTATTTTACAGATGAGGAAATTGAGGGATTGAATAACTTGCAAGGTTATAGAATGAAGCAGGATTGGAACATGGGCATTCTGCCTCTAGAGTGCTCACGAGCACACTGTGCTACCTGTGGTGTTAGCCAATAACACAGAAGAGAAAAGAGAAAATATTTCAAACAGTAGATATGAGATATGATGGATAGATGAAAGCTGAAATTACTGAGATAGAAAACCAAAAATAGGTGGAAGTGATAGAAAAAACAAACAGCCACAATGAAGAGGTTTTTTGTTGTTCTTTTAAAATCCTAATAAAATAGCTAAGCCTCTAAGACTGAACAGCAGATGGAGAGGGGGAAGCGAGGAGTGGAAATAGAAAACAAAAAATGAACAGTATTAAGAATTGAAAAGAGGAGATATAACTAAAGCTGCTATGAGTCCTTCTGATGCCTTTATGTGATTAAGGTGCCACCTTTGAGCAGATATCTTGGTGTAAATAAAAAAAATAGCCTTGAATCAGGATATATATTTCATGTACCTTGGTGTTCAGTCAGCTCACTGCCCTGGCTGGCCATGTTTGTACATAGTGAACACCCTTCTCTGTGGACATAACTAGATATTCAGTAGAGACTGTTAAAAAATTATGAAAATACTAAGAACAATATTTACTGCTTATTTCTTGAAATTTTAAAAGATGAAAAATGGAAACAAATGCCATATGGCTTTCAATGATGACAAATTTGCAGAATACCAACTGGAGGGAAAATCTGATCTAGTGGAAGACTCTTAACTTCCAAAGTGCTAGAAACTAGAAAAGGCTTTCAAATAAACATTCAGAATTTTTGATACCAGTTTTGAATCAAAGTAATATAGGCTTTTCCTTTTCTTTTTCTTTTTAATCAATGTGTTAATGCAAATAGTGCTAACAGGCCTGTATCAGAATAGCAGTGGCTAGAGCTCTTTCCAGACTTTATCCGATCCTAGAGGCAGCCACTTTTAGTTGTTAGCTGTTTATTTCTGGCTTTTACGTCTTTATTTCTAAGCAAATTTGTTTCTTGATTCTATAATAGACACTGCTAAGCCAAATTATATTATGATTGCCTTTATCTAAAAAAACTTTTGTTCTTAATTGGCATTAATATTTTCTTTGTTTGGTTTGCTTTTTTTGACCTGATTGTTGATCCTGACACAGATTCCTAAATAACCCCCCATATTGTGTATTGACGTAGTAGCAAATATAGGACTTGCCTATTGTTTCTAGTCCTCTTAATGTCTTGGGTACCTAAAGTGGGAGAATTTTGTGTCCATTGTATTAGCATGCCTAAGGAGCAGAAAGTAGAAAAGTGGAAGACGAGGAAAGTTGAAGGGACAGTGGTTTACCTGTGGGAGCATAAGCAGTCTATCTGAAGCAGATAATTCCAATTCTCAAGCATTTGTTGACGCCCAACTGTGCCAGGTGCTGCAGATAACCAGGTAGTATATTGCTTGGTCGTTGGCCTAGAAGAGTTGGAGAGACATATCATTGTAAACTGATAATTAATTACTTAAAAGACTTATGTTCTAGCAATATAAGTATGCCTAAACTTATTTAAGAAGTAAAAAGTACAATAAACAAAAAGTATGAAGAGCTAAAGAAAAAGTGAATTTGAAAAGGGTTTTAGTATTTGAATTTGAAGGCCTATATACTATATTAAGGTGCTTGGCGTTTATTCCATTATCTAGTACAGTGTTTGTCAGAACTGTGGTGCAGGATCAGATGTTTTGTGATTTTTAAATTTTCAAGTCCGTCGTGGACTAACAGTTTTGTAAAACAATAAAATTGTAGAAAAATTAAATAAAGATATAAAATATATGTCCACAATTTATTTGTATTAAACCAACATAATATTACTCTTTAAGATTGTTGTAAAAGTTTTAAACACTCATTTTTGTGTTTAATTCATTCTGGCTGTAGTTCTCAGATTGGCACTGGTCAGTGGACCACACTTTGAGTGGTCTTGATTTCCTCGATGATACGAGGTCTTTGCAGGGTTTTCAACAAAGAATGGCATATTTATATTTGTGTTTAACTTGTTTTATTTTGACAGTATAAGTGATAATTAGTTTCAGGCTAGAGGGCTAGAAGCCAAGGAACACTGGAATCATCCTCATTGAATGGTAGCTTGAAATGGAACAGAAAGTGAAATTGACTTTCTTTATATTGATAATTCATGTAGAGAATAATTCTTTCAAAATGCTATAAGCTTGTAGGCGGGGTCTATATTTCTTTTAGTTACTACATAAAGTAGGTACTTTTAAAAAATGAATGAATGGGTCAGAGAGGTAAGGCAGAATCAGGAAAGTAATGTTTAAAACTGTCATCTTTTAATATTGTCTAGATGAAAACTTTATTTGAAGTTCACTTCTATGATTGCTTTAAAAAACAATAAAATAAACTTTGGATATTTTTTCCCACTTTTTCCCAGTGAAGATTATGGTTATTTTATGTTATAAGGAGTAATGAAAGTCCAGGAGACTTAAGATAATCCATAATATTATGTGAAAATTAGAATTATTTTTATACTTTTATATCCTTATTGTTATTAAATATAAGCATTCAAGACTCTTTGCAATAATTTTGAAAGTTATCTCTAAATCTTCCCATAGAATGAAGACCAGCAAGAAGTGATTCTTGTCAGAACAGATCAGTCTGGGAGAGTTTGGCCTATGAACACACCAGAGAAACCTCTGGAATCTAAAGGAGGAAGAAGGAAGAGACAGATGGTATGTTTCAGATATTTTTTAAAATTCAGAATTCCTTTTTTCCTCTTGGGGCTTTCTTTGCATCAGACTATGTACTTCAAAATATTTTATGAAAGGTCTCTGTATAATGCAACTATTAGAAGGCAATAAATTATGTTATTACTCTTATTCTTACTTAAATCCCCTTGCCTTTTATAAAATGGAATCTAATTCAACTACAGTTTTCAAATAACTGGTGAACATTGACTGTTTAAGGGAATTTTAACTTCAGTGTACATTTCTTTGACGTTGTTTTTAGCTTCTTTTTATATACTTACCATAGCTTTTACTGGTAGGGAAAACCTTAGTCTCTCAGACCTGTTATCTGTATTAGCTAATTTGAGACCTGGTGGTGGGATATCCATGTCTTAATTATGTAGTTGCTGTGATCCTTTATAAACCTAATTTTCTTTTCCATCTTTCCCTCTAGCTATTAGTTTTTAGCACTACATTGACGCGCTTGAGATGGCAAAAGCAATGTATCTAGTTTTCCCAAACTAGGTTTTTTGTTTTAAATTTGTAAGATCTGACAAGTGGTGATTTGGTTTGCAGAAGATTAGTTCATTCAGAATTTTTCTGTCAGGTGTTTATTATTTGCTTGTTGAGTGCCTGTGTTGCTAGAGGTAGTAATGGACTCATTCAACAAATAGGCCTGGAATAGATAGCTCTTCTAATGAAATGTGAGGTCTAGGGGTTTGAAGGGGTATGTGGCAGGAGAATAGTCAAGGTATGAATTATATTGAAATGACAGGACTGGCTAGGGGTTCACAGATGCATTGCCAGATAGCATCAAGGGCTCTTTTTTTTTTTTATTAAATATATATTTTATTGATTTTTCACAGAGAGGGAGAGGGATAGAGAATTTGAAACATCGATGAGAGAGAAACATCCATCAGCTGCCTCCTGCACACTCCCTACTGGGGATGTGCCTGCAACCAAGGTACATGCCCTTGACCGGAATCGAACCTGGGACCCTTGAGTCCACAGGCCGATGCTCTATCCATTGAGCAAACCGATTAGGACTCAAGGGTTCTTTTTGAGTTGCCTGCTACCAGGCAATCTAGGTATAGGAATAAAGAGGGTAGACATACTCATTCAGGACTGAGGTTTGCTTTTTGGGTATAATGAAAGGATATCAGAGCTAGAAATTAAGGGTCTGGAGCTAGAGAGTGACTGAAGTCATGAATATGAGATTTAAGCTAGTGAAGACAGGAATAGTTGGGAAAAAATATTGGGGATGTGGTTCCAAGATTTCAAAGAAGTTAAAGAGCAGGTTTTATTTGTATAAGGGAATGTGAAACTAGTATTGGAGAGGGGGGTTGATTTTGGAGGAAATGAAATAGCCCTTTTATTTTTCACATGTAGGTATAGAAACAACTGATAGGAAAAACTTGGGATTGATTTAGATAAGAATCAGAATACCAGCTTGTTTCTGATAGAGCTGTTTGCAGTGGGTTTGCTAATACCTCTATTTTAAATATGCTTACTTGCAATCTGGATAACTGCAGACTTCCCTCCACAGGGGTAGGTAGTTGCTACTACAGGGAGAAGAGCAGAGAGGAGAGAAGGGATAAAACAATTCTGCCTTTTCCCCCAAACTCAGAAATCAGAGAATGTCATGCCTCCATTCCTGGGGAAGAGGAAAGGAAAGGGGCAGAAAAGTAGGGATTATTTTTCTAATGGGAATTCTTCCACGTGGAGGCAAATAGACTAGGGATTAACTGGAAGGAAAGATTGTGACACGTAGTGGGATTTGTACATTTAATATCAGATTTATAGGTAATTCATTAAAATGCTTGAGAAATTCATGTTTTCACTAAGTTAATAATGTTCATTTTGCCATAGGCTTCAACCCATGAGGAAAAAGAAAGGGTCAGATACTTTCATGATGATGATAATTTAAGTCTAAACGATTTAGTCAAGAATGAGAAGATGGGAACAGCAGAAAATCAGAACAGACTTTTTATGAGAATGGCATCTAAGGTAAGCTATATTCCTGGGATACCTTTGAATTTTGAGAAGCTGGTTACTCAGTAATGATCTACATTTTAGGCAGAGCTGGTTCTTTCTAATCTTGATTTATTTTATTACATTAAAACCTGTGTAAGACATATTAGGGGTATGCATTTTGGAATTGATTTGATTGGGAAGTATATATTTAGGATTTAGTTTGTTTTTAATTAATAAACTCTTTAATTTTTTAATATATTCCCTAAAATTTTTAATTATATATTTGATCTACCATTTTAAGGGAAAGTTTTGGGCCAGAATTTTATGTTGATAGTGTGCAGCTAGCCTGTTTTATCTTAACGTTCCTCCAATTCTTCATAATTATGCCAGAGGAGTATATTTGGTGTAATATATTATAGATTATAGAGAAGACATCTTGGAATAATTTTGTCTATTTATATGAAAATTTTATATTTACATGAAAATGTATATTAATACCTAATTATGGGTAGTAGGATAAATTTTTGTTTCAAATAGTGGTTTTTTGTTGCAATTTCTATTATAATTCTTACCAAACACTACCATTAAAATTCTCATATAAAAGAGAAGCATAACCCTGGCTGGGTTGCTCAATTGGTTGGAGCACCGTCCCATACACCAAAACATTTCTGGTTCGATTTACGGCCAAGGTGCATACTTAGGTTGTGGGTTCGCTCCCCATGTCGGGGTGGGTGTGGGAGGAAACCCATTGGTGTTTCTCTATCACATCGATATTTTCTTTTTCTCTTCCTCTTCCCCTCTCTTAAAAATTTTTTTAGTAAAAGCATATCCTCTGGTGAGGATTAAAAAATAAAGAGAGAAATATTTAAACTTAGCTATAACAAGGTTTGACCCCACTGGAAAAATTCAGTTCACTGCCTGTATTTGCAAATAAAGTTTTATTGTAACACAACTATGCACATTTGTTTACATGTAGTCTATGTTTGTTTACACTCTATAATGGCCAGGTTGAATAGCTGTGGCAGAGACTTTAATAGCCAACAAAGCTGATAATATTTACTATCTGGTCCTTTACAGAAAAAATCTGCTCATCCCTGCTTTATGATACCTGTGCTTACTATGTGATGGTAGAAGTTTGAACTAGGTATTTAAAGGACGTGAGGGAGACTTTGTACTGTACCTTTTCAGACTTAAAAAAAACAACAACAAAAAAATGATTGAACATATTACCTGGTGAAAAAAAGTAACTTAATGAAAACTAGAATGGAGGTAACCAAGGTATCTGAGTGTGTATGTGTCTGTGGCGGGGAGTAAAACAAACTTGGGTTTAAATAGAAATGGTCATTCTTCCCATTACCAAGAATTGTGTGGGATCTTACATGTAAGCCCATGAGGATTATTTTCTCTCTATTTTGGAGAAAGTACTAGAAATCGTATAGGGTCTGGAAATTCAATGTGTAAAGAAAGATATCATAAAACTAAAGAATATTCAGCTCTAGAAAGGGACTTGACTAATCTTGCTAACCTTTCACATTTTACTGATGGTGAAAGTAAGACTCTGAGATAATGAAATGACGTATGCAAGGCTAAGTAACTTTTCCAAGTTCCCATAACTAATGATTTGCAAAAGCCCGCACCGTAAGCCTCAGCTATTAACTCCCAAGGTTAGCTTTTTTTCATTAAACAGCACTGCCTTTCAAATGACTCAGGCTAATGGATGGTTGTTGATTGTTGCCTAAATTTAATTGTTTTTGTATAATTTCCATGTGTCATTTGTTGGTATTTGGGAATAAGTGGTATGTGCTTTGCTCTTTCTTAAAATACTTTCTACTGACTCCAACATTCTTTAAATATAAACTCTTCCATTTAAAATCTAAGACGTCAGTGTTCCCTTGGCAACGTAAACTTGGGCACATCTTTGTGAGATCTATATACATCTTTCCTCATTAATTTTGTTAGCACTGTGGGCAGTAATTTTATACTTTTTGTTCTGATAGTGCGGTAAAAATGGACTGGAGGGGAAGGAAAATGGAAGGTACAAGAAAAGGAAGAGAAAGACTTAAAGTAATTAGGGTTTTATCTTAAATTGTAAGAAAACAAGATTTTATTTTCTAAGAAAAGATGCCTGTATTTCTATTGATAGTTTTATTTTTCTGAATTTGTGTCATTCAAGGCTTGATATATTTTCTTATGGAAGTAGTCTTTAAAATTTACAAGTACATATTTTCATAAAGAACCTAAATCCTTTATTTTTTTATTTTCAATTAACTGAAATATTAATAACAAATCTTGAGATTAAGTGACACACCTTTTTTGAAAGCATGATTATACAAAGGTAAGGAATATCAAAATTGCTAACTTCTTTTGTTGCTTCAGTTCTCTTATAACCATTCTATTCTCAGAATTTGAGGGGCTGAAATTAGAAGGACAGTTTCAGTTTTGATAAAAATTTGATTAAAAAATTATCATAAAAGTTGAAATACTTTTGTAAGAATTAGACTACAATCTCTATTTCATTGTTGGCAATCTTTGTGTAATAGTGCAATATTCTTTAAGTAGATTTATTACAAATAAATTGTTTCTGCATAATGGTAAAAAAGCTTTCAGTTTTCATATAATTTTTTAAAAAAATATGTTTTTATTGATTTTTAGGGAGAGAGGAAGGGAGAGAGATAGAGAGAAACATTGATGAGGGAGAAACATCATCAATTAGCTGCCTCCTGCACGCCCCATTTTGGGGATTGAGCCCATAACCAAGACACGTGCCCTGACTGGAATCAGACCTTGATCTCTTGGTTCCTGGATCGACACTCAACCACTGAGCCACACCGGCTGGGCTAATTTTTCTTAGTATCATATTATCTATATAATAAAAGCCTAAGCAACTGTTACTGCGGAACAACCAGAACAACCAGTCGCTATGATGCTCACTGACCACCAGGGGGCAGATGCTCAACACAGGACCTGCTCCTTGGTGGTCAGTGCGCTCCCACAGGGGGAGCACTGCTCAGCCAGAAGCTGAGCTCATGTCCGGTGAGTGCAGTGGGGGTGGCAGGAGCCTCTTCCGCCTCTGTGGCAGCACTAAGGAGCAGCGAGCTGAGTGGTAAGGAGCAGCGAGCAAGGGGTCCCGGACTGTGAGAGGGGTCCCGCCCCCCAGTGCATGATCGTGCACCGGGCCTTTTTTTTATAAGATGCCACTTCGTTATAATTCAGATTTTTTTTTTTTTAACTCAGACATCAGAATAGGAAAACAAATTAGTTTTCATGGTTAGAAGACATTTAACATTTTTGTATACTTGGTATTTAACCATTAATTCACTAACATCTTCAGTTTCCAAGCTTTAATTTGGAAACTGCTACATTAAACAGAATCAAAGTAATAATTTAACTCCCTAATTCACATGGATGGTCATTATAATGAATACAAAGAACTTTCCTTGCTGTGATAATGCGATCACAATCCCTCTGGAACAGTTTCTCAGCTGTGACATTATTGTCATTTTGGGCTGACTAACTCTGTTGTGGGAGGACTCTGTCTATTGTAGAATGTTTGGCAGCATCTCTGGCCTCTACCCAGTAGATGCCAATAGCATCCAAATCCACCCCACGTTGTGACAACCAAAAACGTCTCCAGGTATTTCCAGATGTCCCCCCAGTTGAGAATACTACTCTTGCAGAGAATAACTACTGTTTTTTGAGGTCTTGGTATATATCAGGCTCTTCACATACATAGATGATTCTAATTATCTGACAGCGTTGGTATTAACCCCATTTAATAAACAAAAACTGATGCTCAGAGATATTCAGTAGTTTGCCTTATCCCTTTCCTGAACCTGGTTCATTTTCCAAGTTTTTCCTTTATCAGTAGATGGTGCTACTATCTAGCCTACATCAGAAAGTTAAGATTTTTCAGCGCTGCCTCTCTTTCCCTCATTTTCCACATCAAATCTGTCACCAATCTTATCCTCCCCCTACACCTAATCACTCTGCTTCTCTTTGTTCCCACTGCTACACCAGGTCTATGAAAATAGCCTGGTAACTGGTTTGCTGGCATTTCTTCTTTTTTTTTCTTAAAATATATTTTATTGATTTTTTATAGAGAGGAAGGAAGAGGGATAGAGAGTTAGAAACATTGATGAGAGAGAAACATCGATAAGCTGCCTCCTGCACCACCCTCCACTGGGGATGTGCCCGCAACCAAGGTACATGCCCTTGACTAGAATCGAACCTGGGACCCTTCAGTACGCAGGCCAACGCTCTATCCACTGAGCCAAACCGATCAGGGCTCTTCTTACATTTTTCCAGTTCTTTCTTAACTCTACCTCACTAAAGGCAGACTAACTGCCCCCCACCACCCCCAACAATGTATATCTGATCCTTTGGCCTCTATGTTAAGACATTTCAAATGGCATTTGGTTGCTATTAGGTTAAAGACCAGATTCTTGTTAATGGCCTAACAAGACCTGGAATGGTCTGCTCTCTTCCTCTCCAGCCTCATCTTGAATCTTGTTTTCTTTGCTTTGCTTCCTCTGTTCCAGCCATGCTGACTTTCACTCAGTTCCTCAAATATGCTTTATTTTCCGCTGCTACAAACACGTTGCACATGCTGTTTCTGCTATACCACCTTCTGTCTACTTGACTCTTCCTATACATATATATATCTCACCTTTATTATTATTCTTTCAGGAAGGCTTTTTTCATCTCTGCATATTTCATTCCTCTATTAGGATCTCAAATTGCCATCACAGCTCTAACACGACTTTTCTACTCGGCAACCCTTTAGTAAGTCTATCTTCCCACTACTGTATAGGTCAGTGATGGTGAACCTTTTGAGCTCGGCGTGTCAGCATTTTGAAAAACCCTAACTTAACTCTGGTGCCGTGTCACATATAGACATTTTTTGATATTTGCAACCATAGTAAAACAAAGGCTTATATTTTTGATAATTATTTTATGTATTTAAATGCCATTTAACAAAGAAAAATCAACCAAAAAAATGAGTTCACGTGTCACCTCTGACACGTGTGTCATAGGTTCGCCATCACTGGTATAGGTTCTATATTTTTGGGACTATGTCTGCTTTTGCTCACCATTGTATATTAGCTATCCATTAGAGTCCTTAGCATATAAGAGCATTAAATAAATATTTGCTGTCCAAAAATCACATACTTGAGACTTGAAGTCGAAAACAAAATTACCTTTTTCACTACTATACTAACTTGCATAGAAAATTAAGATATTTTTTGTTTCTCTCAATACTCCCTGTTGTTTTGATTTTGCAACAATATTACTTTAAAAATGAACACAATCTTTTATCTCTTAATATTGTTGACCTTTTAATTCTCAACCTTTTCCACATTTCTAGAAATTTCAATGTGGTTATAACACTGAATTGCTGAGAAAAAATTATTCAGGTCTTATCAGAGGTATGGTCATAGAGATAGTCAGATGATGGGACAATGTTCCTGGAATGTGTGGTTGATTTATAGTACACAGAATCAAGAATGATTTATATTTTTATAAATTTCAAGATTAGTGATGATATTTTTGGAAGCTCAAATGCTTAATAGCCTGATGAGACTATCCTATACAATAAAAGCCCAGCGACTGAAACGGTGGAACGACCAGAACGACCACGGCCTCTCACCCCGGCCGGCCGCCCCCCAGCGATCAGTTAAGGGCGATCAGGCAGGCAGGTGAGCAGTTAGGGGTGATCAGGGAGGCAGGCAGAGACGGTTAGGGGTGATCAGGCAGGCAGAGTGCTTAGGGGCAATCAGGCAGGCAGAGGTAGTTAGGGGCGATCAGGCAGGCAGAGGGGTTAGGGACGATATCAGGCAAGCAGGCAGAGGGGTTAGGGGCGATATCAGGCAGGCAGGCGAGCAGTTAGGGGCATCTGGCAAGCAGGCAGAGTGGTTGGATCTAACCTCTAAGAGAAGATAACTGGGAAAATGCAAATAATTAGAGGGTGAAGATTCAGTTACATATAAAAGTGCATATTCTTCTACTAATATATTTTTAGATAAGATACATACCTATTAGATATTTATGCTCTCTTGGATAAGTATCTTAACATAATTTGGGTATGATTATGCTGGATGAAATTTAAGTTTTCTTCAGATTCTCTGTTCTGCTTCAAAGACTGTTTCAAAGTATACCCTTGCTGTGTTTTAAAGTTGGATTTCTTAAGTGGGAGAGGCACGCTTCAGTTTTAGAATTAGATTCACCTATGTTTGGTTCCTCTCTCTATCCATTAATAGCTGTGTGACTTTGATTGTTACTTAGTCTCTCTCAGGCTCTGCTTTGTATGACAGTACAAAGGAGAATGACAATTTCTCTGTTGCAGGGATATTTGGATGGGAGAGTACTCAAAATTTTTATTAATACTTAGCACATAGTTGGTCATTGTTATGAAAAAGATCAGTTCTGATATTTTTCAAAATGTAGTATGTTATGGTGGAGATATAGTCTGAAGTTAAAATAATAATTTGTAAGTTAGGGCAGTTTCCATAAATAGGTAAACCTGAAAGAATAAAGAGACATACAAGTATTAATATGGAAAAAAAGAAGATAAAAATAAATTCCTGTTATGGACAAGAAAGCTAATGTGCTCTGGGAAATACCTAACTAATAATTGTTTTACCTGATTCTCTCAATGACTTTTTAGAAATTTTCTTCTGTTTATATTTTGTTTCATTTTCTCTAGTTTTTAAGGTAGAAGTTGACATCATTGATTTGAGGCCTTTTTTTGTTTTCTAATATAGGTGTTTAGTGCTTTAATTGTCCCTGGGAATACTGCTTTAGCAACAGCCCACATATTCTCATATGTTGTATTTTTTTTCCCGGTTTAAAATACTTTTTAGTTTTCTTTTTGTTGTTGTTGATCAGCGGGTTATTCCGAGTGTGCTATTTAGTGTCCAAATAGTTGGCAATTTCCCAAATATCTTGATGTTACGAATTCTAATTTAATTACATTGTGTTCAGTGTATATACTTTATGTTACTTGAATCCTTTTAAATTTATTGAGACTGTGTTACAGCCAAGAATGTCATCAGTCTTGGTAAATGTTCTTTGTGCACTTGAATTTGTATCCTGCTGATGTTGGATAGAATTTCTATCAATGTCAGGTTTATAGTTTATTCAAGTTGATAGTTTATTTAAGTCTTTTATATGCTTAGTGATTTTCTACTTGTTCTATAAATTTTTGAAACAGTGGTGTTTAAATTTCTATCCATAGTTATGGATTTTTCTATTTCTCCTGCAATTCTATCAAGTTTTGCTTCATATATTTCGAAACTCTGTTATTAGGTTCATGCACTTCGGGGTTCTTGTGTCCTCTTGATGGTCTGACTCTTTTATCACTATGAAATGCCTTTTATCCTTCACAATATTGTTTGCTTTGAAATCTACTTTCTCTGACATGAATAGAGCCACTTCAGCTTTCTTCAAATCTTTTTTTTTTTTTTAGATATGTTTTTATTGATTTCAGAGAGAGGAAGGGAGTAGGAGAGAGAGAAACATCAGTGATGAGAGAGAATCATTGATCAGCTGTCTCCTGCACTCCCCCTACTGGGGATATAGCCTGAAACCCAGGCATGTGCCCTGACAGGGAATGGAATGGTAACCTCCAGGTTCACGGGTTGACACTCAACCACTGAGCCACACCGACCAGGCTCATATCTTTTAAAATATCTGCTGATATCCAAGCATCTTGCAGTTGCTCTGTAGTTGATAAAAGATGGTTCTCTTTTTGGTACTTAGTAGACTAAGTAGAACTTAGAACTGAATCTAAGGGAAGTAAAACCACAAGTTAATGAGCAATTATGATACAGTGTGGTCATCATAAGACTAATGGGAGTAGAGTATTGGAGTTGCTTAGGAGATCTAGGAAAGTTATTACATGGAGGTGACAACTACATCTAAGCCTCAGATTGAAATATGAGTAGGAGTAGAATGGCAAAATTGGTCAGAGAGTGATCCGTGCAAAGCCTGACCACAGCAGTACTTTGCGGACTGAAATTAGAGTGGCTAGAGCCTGAGTTTGTGTAGGGATGTGATCAGATGTGACTGGAGAAGTTATCAATTCCAGATCACAGAGGTTTGTAATGGTAATGGTGGCTCACTTTTATGAGTCCTTACTGTGTGCCAAGCATGTATTGTGAAGATTAAGTGAGATAAACCTATTAGATAGATAATCTATACTAATAAAAGGGTAATATGCTAGTTAGACCGGGAGACCTTCTGGGAGACCTTCTGGACGTCCTTCCAGACAAAGCCATGGTGGCGGGGTCTAGGCAGAGGTGGTTAGGGGAGATCAGGCCAGCAGGGGAGGGCAGTTGGGGGCGAGCAGGCTGGCGGGGGGGGGGCAGTTGGGTGAGCAGGCTGGTGGGGGGCGGCAGTGGGGGCAATAAGTCCGGGAGGGGGGGCAGTTAGGGGTGATCAGGACGGAAGGGGGGGCAGTTGGGGTTGATCAGGCCGGCAGCAGAGTGATTAGGGGCTATCAGGCAGGCAGGCAGGTGAGTGGTTAGGAGCCAGTGGTCCCAGATTGTGAGAGGGATGTCCAACTGCCGGTTTAGGCCCAGAGGGTTCGGGCCTAAACCGGCAGTCGGACATCCCCCGAGGGGTCCTAGATTGGAGAGGGTGCAGGCTGGGCTGAGGGCCACTCCCCCACCCCCCACCCCCTGCACGAATTTTGTGCTCCAGGCCACTAGTATTGTTATAACCATTGTAAAATGAGGAAATAAAACATAGAGAGAGAGCACAGACAGGCAGTAGAATTTTACCATGGTCATTCTGACTGTAGAGGTCAAGCTTTTAACCATTATGCCTTTCTGTGTCTATGATTTAGTACACCAAACCAGAGTTTGAACTTGATTTTGTTCACAGTGCAGAGCTCTTGGAAGATTTTAATCAGGAACATAAGTAAAATTTGTGTTTTGTGTTAAAAGCATCACCCTGGGTACAGTTTATGTTAGGGGAGATGTGGCGAAGGCACCTAGAGATATAGTTGAAAAATGTTTTATGTTCTGTATAGAGTATATGCTAATTTTAAAGTGAAAGTGGTTCTCTGTGGTTTAGTTTCTTCATTTATTAAGTGGAAATGAGAATGGTCCCCTCTTCCTAGGAGTGTAAAACAATCAAATTCATAGAATTGCACATAGTAATTACTCTTTGAACTTCAGCTGTGATGATGATATGATGTGATGATGGATTGACCCTTGAAGGTCAAGCTTACATTTTAATCATGTTTTCTTTTTCTCCTTTTTAAAAAAATGTAAGCGTTTTATCATAGAACTTACAAATATGATTTAAGTATGCTTCAGTACAATAAAATCTAACTACTACCTTCTACTTCCCACTTCTGTTGTTCTGGTTTTTCAGTTTATGGGAAAGACAGATGGAGACTATTATACTCTGGATGACATGTTTGTCTCCAAAGCAGCTGAAAAAGAGCATTTTGGTGAAGAAGAAGAAAACCAGAGGAAAAAAGCCATTGCTGAACACCGGAGTCTTGCTGCACAAATGGAAAGGTGTCTGTATTGTTTTGACAGCTCTCAGTTTCCCAAGCACCTTATTGTTGCAATAGGTATTAAGGTAAGAAATATACAATTTATTGTTCTAAGGAAATGATTTAGTGGTATGTGTAGATTTTCCTCTTTCTTCATACTCTTATAAGATTCCTAAGGAATCTGTCTTCTCTTAGTCTGTGTTTCAGATATTTTTCTTTTCTAGGGTCCCATGACCCATGATTTTTAAAATCTTTTTTACAGCGAGTGTAAATGTTTAAGTGACATGAAGCTTGCATTTTGCATGATTCTGCTCTTTAGAGAGGCAGCATTGGGTAGTGGTTAAGGCCCTAGACTGTGGAGCCAGACTATGTGAATTCAAATTCTGGCTCTGCCATTATCCTGTGTCTGACCTTATTTTTATGATTGACACTTGATTCTCCGTATTAAAATCCACCTCAGAGATCATCTAAAGTAGCTTCTTCTTTCTTTACTTTTTCATAGAACCTATTTATTTCTTCATAGAATATCTCATCATTTGAAGAAGTTTACTGTATTTTGTTTTACTTGTTTATTGAATATCTTCCCCAAGAGTCTGTGGGTTCCATGAGGATATAGATAATTTATTCATCATTGTATGCCAACCATGTCTGTTTACAGTCACTTATTTCAACAAATTTAATAGTCACTTATTTAATAGTTACTAATAAGAGTCGCTTATTTTAATAAATATTTGGTGGTTTAATTCTTATATTAAGTAAATCATTATCATGTACCTGATATATGGATGCCAGACCCTAATTATTCACTGGGGAAAATTGAGACTCAGATATATTATGGAGCTTGTTTTTCTAGTGAAATAGGAAAGAAAATAAACAAAGTAATAATTTCCCTGATTTAAGAAAGTGTTGTCATGTAGCAGATTGAGAAAATGGTATAAAATTATGGGAAGTATTTTTTGAGAAGGTAGTCTTAGAAGGCTTCTCTGAGGAGATATTTTGTGAAGATATGAAAGATGAGAAGGCGCAAGCAAAATGAATACACATAAGAGTGAATACTGCTTCAGGAAGGGGCATTGGTGAGTGAAAGCTTTGTGGAAAAAATGAATTTCATGTTCATAAAACAAAGACTAGTGTAGCTGGAGTGGAGTGAGTGAGAGAAGGCGATGGGAGAGGAAGTTGAATGGATGAATGCTAGTTGTAGGAAATCCTAGTTTTGGGAACATACATATACATTTTTCTTAATTTAATTAATTTGTTTGTTTTATAAACACACACACACACACACACACACACACTCCTATGTATCCAATGGCTTTTCCATTCCAACTCTAGTCTTTAATATCTTTAGATCATTAAGACAGTCAATGTATCCTTCTTTTTCTTCTCCTTTCCCTCCATACTTTATGGGAAAGGTAAATGTAAAAATTCCATTCAAACTTTAGTCAATTAAAAATATCCACTTTAACCAGTTACTGGTATTAATTTTTCTAAGTTCTTTTCCAGACTTTTACCTAAGCATTTACATTTTTTAATTATGACATTGTGTATAAATTTTTCATTCTTCTTTAGTCTTATCCCTACCTTAAAAAAATATAAGCATAAATTAAATGTAAAGTACCACTTAAGTCCTTCCTGCAATGTTTTAGGGGAAGTTTGCGTTATTTTCAGTGATTTCATTTTCCCGCTGCATGAAGACGGGCTGAGCCCAGGGAGGCACAGTGTGCAGACCTTAATAGTTACTTTGCTGTTAAGCAGAAATGCTAAATAGTATTTCAGAGCAATTCAGTAATTCTCACTCAGCTTGAATGTCTAATATTTAAAGTTAATGTCTTATATCCAAGTATATTAATGAAACTATCTTGGTACTCTTAGAGTCAGACAGTTAGATAACGATATGGTCATCAGCTGTCCCTGCCTTCTCTTTCCTTTTTGTAAAATAAAAGTCCTCTAGCCACCTTTCTGTCTTAACACTTTGTTTTACTTTTAAAAAAATCAACTTTATTTTTTTTATTTTACTTTTTTTTGGTAATTTTAGAGTGAAAATTTGCAATTTTCAGAGAAAAACTGAAAAGATAGTACAGAGTTCCATATAATTTATACCCAGTTTCTCTGTTAATACATCTTATGTCAGTATAGTAAATTTGTTACAATTAATGAATCACTACTGATACTGTTTTTAATTGTGAATATGGTCCTTTCTCACCAGTTTTAAAAATTTGCATTATTTTATTAAATAAACAAAACAATAAAATTGTCTGCCATGCAAAATATTTCTAGCTAAAGCCTAACAAAAAATAACAGAAAATATGATCAAGTAACTATGCAGAATATTATTGATGCTCTTCATGAATATCTTTTGTTCACTATTACACATACTGATTGACCTTTTATTTTTATTATTGTTTTTATCCTCACCTGAGGATCTGTTTATTGCTTTTAGAGAGAGGGAGAGATAGAGAGAGATAGACAGACAGACATCAATGTGAGAGAGAAACATTGATCAGTTGCCTCCCATACTAGGAATCAAACTCGCAACCTAGGTATGTGCCCTGATCAGGAATTGAACTTGCAACCTTTCTGGTGTATGGGGAGCAATGCTCCAACCAACTGAGCCACCTGGCCGGGGCCTATTAACCCTTTCTAAAAAAAGATAACTTACAATGGAAAAGTAGCTCCAGCTTGTAGTTAATACATGTATGTAAATAAATAGAACTTAGCCAGAGAAGTACAGCCACTCAGAGGCTATTTCCTTTCTCTCTTAGTTGGGTGAATTCTCCTTTCTCAGCCAATGAGAGAAAGGCCTGAATTAATAAGTGTTAGATATTTCTGCTATTACCAGGCTGTGCATTTTTTTTTTATTCTTGCAAAATTATACCAAGGTCTTTGAAAGCATATACCTTTTTCAGATCAAGGATAAAAGTGTCTTTCATTCTGCCCTTGGGTAAACTTAATCTTTGATGTGTAACAGTTAAAACTGAGACTTATGCTATTAATTTCCAGCTAATTAAAAGCTATCTTGCCATTTGTCTCAGTGATCCCACTTCTAGGAATATATCCTAAGAAACCCAAAACACCAATCAGAAAGAATATATGCACCCTCTGTTCATAGCAGCACAATTTATAATAGCTAATATCTGGAAATAGCCCAAGTGCCCATCAGTAGATGTGTGGATAAAAAAGCTGTGATACATTTATACCATGGAATACTATGCAGCAGAAAAAAAAGAGACAGCATGGAGGGACCTGGAGAGTATTATGCTAAGTGAAATAAGCCAGTCAGAGAAAGACAAGTATCACCTGATCTCACTTATATATGGAATCTAATGAACAAAATAAACTGATGAACAAAACAGATCCCAAGATATAGAAGGATAGAACATACTGCAGAATCTCAGAGGGAAGGTGGGGGAGTATAGGTGGGTGGGCACTGATCAACCGAAGAACTTGTCTGCATATATGCATAAACCATGGACACAGACAGTAGGGGGGAAGGCCTGGGGTGGGGAGGCGGGAACGGGCTAGAAGGGGTCAATGGAGGAAAAAAGCGGACATGTAATACTTTCAACAATAAAGATTTAGTTTTAAAAACAAAAGCTATCTTCGTGGCTTTTAAAATATTTTTAAAATATTAAATGTTTTTAAAAACATTAAAATATATTGCTTATAGGCAAGTGTACATTATTAAATGTTAGCCGTATTTCCCTAGTAAGGGTCCATCTGTTGCAGCTGAGAATAGATAGCAGTAACATTTCATGTTTGCAATTTTCCCCCATAGGTTTATTTATGTTTACCCAACTTCCGATCTCTTACCGAGGGTCACTGCCTGATAGTCCCTCTGCAGCACCATAGAGCCGCTACCTTATTGGATGAAGACATCTGGGAGGAAATTCAGGTCAGCACGATAATGTTCATTATCATTGTAAAGCTTATGAACAATTTTTACAAACTATTCTGATAAATCTCAACAAGTTTTATACCTTCATCCAATGATTTTTAACTTTCTGAACTTGTATACATTTATATAGTTGTGCATATCTGTGGATCATGGTATTTTCACCATGATCCCTTATGTACTACATACTTTGGAAGCTTTTTACTTTCTTAAAATTTATTGATTGATTTCAGAGAGAGAGAGGAAGGGAGAGACAGAGAGAAAGAGAGAAACATCGATTTGTTGTTCCATTTATTGATGCATTCATTAGTTGATTCTTGTATGAGCCCTGACCTGGGATCGAATCTGCAACCTGGTGTATTAGGATGGCACTCTAATCAACTGAGCTACCCAGCCAGGGCCATATTTTGAAAGTTAAAAAAAAATTTTTTTTTTTAATTGAGATACATTGACATATAACATATTAGTTTCAGGTGTTCAACTGAAGGCTTTTGTCTACTAAATTAACTGTGACAAAGTAATTATTATTTTTACTTTAAAAAAGTCAGTGTAAGATTTTTAAAAAGTATATATTTTATTGATTTTTTACAGAGAGGAAGGGAGAGGGATAGAGAGTTAGAAACATCGATGAGAGAGAAACATCTATCAGCTGCCTTCTGCACACCTCCTATTGGGGATGTGCCCGCAACCAAGGTACATGCCCCTGACCGAAATTGAACCTGGGATCCTTCAGCCTGCAGGCCAATGCTCTATCCACTGAGCCAAACCAGTTAGGGCCAGTGTAAGATTTTTAATTTGTGCATTTGTGAAACATGAGATAATCATGCTTACGACAGTAAGCTAATAAGTTACAGCCAAAAGGAAAGATATTTTTAGATAATGAAAAATAAATTTTGGAAGTTAGATGTTTATATTCAGCAGTTGTTTTATTTTTCTGTAATGGAACTGGCTGTCTCTGCTGTTGTGATTTTGTGGGGATTTGTTGTCAGCTTTAATTTTTGCACTTTTCCCTTTATAACCTGGCTTATAGTTTGCATTCAGGGACTTTGTATATGTGTCAGGGAGCTTTAAGAAATTGAAAGGCATAATAGTATGGTTGAAATTGCTGCTGAATTATTTCAAGACCTCATAATCACCAAGAAAGAAAGAATGAAAACTCTAGTTTTTTAAATACCTGACCACTGAATAGGGATACAGGGACTTCTACTTAGAAAACTGTGAAAATGGTTAGACTTCAAAAGAGATTATATACTAGTCTTTTCATGATGCCAGTAAAAATGCCAAAAGAGAAGCTATTTTAACTGCATTGAATGAAATTCAAGTCTCTTTCTCCCTGGAATATTTAAGTTTATGCTGGGAAAGTTAAAGGACAGACTGTTTTAATGCATCTATGGCCAAGCAAGGGTAAGAATGTGGACTAATATATTTGATGTGAAAATTTATTGTTTTTTTTCTAGTAGTAGATGTCAGTGCAGTAAATAATTTCAAGTGAAAAGTATGCAAAATCAGTTTTCAGAATTATTTTGGGACTTTTCTGAAATGCTTCTAGAAAGTATATATACTTCCCAGCCTGTGTGGCTCAGGGGATTGAGTGTCGTCCCATGCACCAAGAGGTTGCTGGTTCTATTCGTGGTCAGGGCGCATGCCCAGGTTATGGGCTCCATCCCCAGTGGGGCCTTATAGGAGGGAGCTGATGGATGTTTCTCTTTCATCGATGTTTCTATCTCTCTCTCCATCTCCCTTCCTCTCTCTCTAAAATCAATAAAAAAAAAAAAGAATGAAAAAAGTGGTACTCATATAAAACAAAAAATTTATATATCGAAAGTGATTTTATTTAGAACAAAATACAGTGCCAGAAAGATTTTAGGTAATACAGGAATCAAGTCTGTGTGTTTTATATTTCTGTAAGAAATTAAGCTACTTTATGAAACACATTGAAGTAGATAAAGAAGGAATTTATTCAGTACAACATATACTGAATACATGAGTATAAGATAATCCAAGTGTCGTGAGAAATGCAGAGACAAACGCATTCATTAATTCTGCCCAAAGGTATGGCATGTTCTAGTACAGGTTACATCATAGTTTAGCAGATTTTGTAAGCCATGTGAATTACAGAATATTGAGTGAGGGAAGAAAAACCAAATTGTTTCATATAAATAATGGCATTATAGCTCTTACTTCCAAATATGTATAAAAACTCAAATTACACCCTGTTAAATATTCTTATGGCCATTCACCTCTTTTAGAGAATATATTTAAAAAAATGATTAGACCTAGCAAAATATATTGTTTGCAGCCCAGCCTTCATGGCTCAGTGGTTGAGCGTCAACCTATGAACCAGGAGGTCAAGGACTGATTCCCAGTCAGGGCACATGCCTGGGTTGTGGGCTCCATCCCCAGTGTGTGGTGTGAGGAGGCAACTGATCAATGATTCTCTCTCATCATTGATGTTTCTATCTCTCTCTCCCTTTCCCTTCCTCTCTGAAATCAATAATAATATAAAATTATATATATATAGTTTGCAAATACAGAAGCCATTTCTTTCAAGTGACTTTTTCCCCATCCTCTAGTAACATTTAAATTTAATCTTAGATTTTATACTTAATAAAAATGCAAAGATAAGTTTCAGCAAAACATATGGGAATAATTACAAATTTCGAATGAATAAAATTCCAAATTTTTAGTTTTATTAAATGCATAGTGAAATTCTGTCCCCTTTAAATTCATTTTTATCAGTTTGACAAATATGTTTGAACATATGTTATAGGTCCATTTTTTAAATATCCCAAATTGGCAGTATGGTGGTAGAGTCTTTGATTCTCATCTACAGTGGACTTCACTGTGGAGTGATATAATGGGGCCATTTCATTGGGAAACCTCCAGTGTGGGTACCTTTATGTCTTTTTCTTGGGGCCAATCAGAATCTCTAGAAAGACCCTTTTAATCTCTTGCCCAGAGCATTTAAACCAGATGGCCAGTGTTCTGGGAGCTGAGTCAGGGAAGAGGCTGGAGTGCCAAAACGTTGAACATTTAAGAACATTAAGTAACACTTCCTATAATGCCCCTGTTTTCAGACTGTAGAATCTCAACTATCTGGTTTTCTTAGCCCAGCCGCCTTCTACAAAGGATAATCCTACAGTATTCTGCTGGTGTGGAGGAGGGCCTCTGGTGTGTTAAAGACTTCCACCTATGCCATCTGGGTTTTTTGTTTGTTTGTTTTTAATCCTCCCTGGAGGATATGTTTATTGATTATCTGAGAGAAAGAGGAAGGGAAAGAGTGAGAGAGAAACATCAATTGGTTGCATCTCTTACACGCCCTGACCAGGGATCAGACCCACAACTGAGGTATGCGCCCTGACTGGGATCCTTCAGAGAGATAGAGAAATCTGATGTTAAGGAGATAACATTAAATTTCCATATTCCTAGTAGAAAATACTTCACTTTTAAGGAACCCACAACCTTTTGGTGTATGGGACGCCACTCCAACCAACCGAGCCGCCTGGCCAGGGCACCGTCTGTTTTTCACTATGCCTTTCCTTCACTTCCACAATTACGTGGTGCTGCCTGGTCCTGAGCCTGGTCCTGAGCCTTTTGAGGATTCTGCAGCCTGGCCCTCTTCTTTACTGTCCCTGCTAAGCCCCGCCCCCTATATCACCCAGGTGTGAACCCACTTCTAGTGTTTAAGTCAGGTAATCCCTGGTGATCTGATCTTTAGTGTTTTCTCTCATTTGTTCTAGTAGTTTTGTGCTGTTTTAAAAATTAATGTCATTTTTGAGGGGTCACTCTGTGAAGGGTATAGAGTTAAATGTGTATGTTCTGTTCTATCTCATAACATTTATCTTTGGATAACTTTACCTTTAGAACTTTAAGTTCTATTAGAAAACTTGAATAAATAATAGGATTACTATTATATGATAGCTTTGATATTTTTCATTTTCATTTCAAAATTGTTTACTCATACCTACTTGATTTTTTTGTGATGTGACTTGATACATATTAAGAATTATAATGCCCTGTAGTATTGTTTACTTAAATGTATTATAAGGAATTTTAGTTCAGGTGTGTTACCTAAATGAGGAATAGCAATTAGGTGAGTAATCATAGCTTAGAAATGTGGAAAATAGTGATTACCCAAAGGGTGAAGTATTTTCTACTAGGAATATGGAAATTTTATGTTATCCCCATAACATGGGATCTCTATATCTCTCTGAAGCATAAAATAGTTTTGGCATCTTAATGAACTAAAGAGCTTTCTTCACTGTTTAGTTTTCATATAACTATAAAAAATGAATATTATTTAAATATGTATAGTATATTCATTATATTGAACTCCGGGGGCGGAATCCTGCTTTAATGGAATTGGTAACCTCAAATTACACCATTAAACTCATATTTTAAAATTAAAGTCTTTTATATTCATAGAGCAGAAGTACTTACAATAGTATGTGTCCTCCTTGAAGCTATTAGCTTGATGTTTATATATTTTATAATATTGTACTATTCTTTTATCACTACTCATTTAGTACTTTTGAGTTTTCATTTATAATTCATGACATCTTGAGTCTGTCTTCACTACTTCCAACAGTTAAGCCAGGGAAGGATTATGAACAATCAGGAAGGAAGGAAGTCTGTGAGATAATTTGGATTGCCTAAATTTTTATTATTGTTGTTGCTGCTTTTTATTCACTTTTTCCCTTCTTCAAAAGTGTTTGGTTTTCAAATATATAGTTCCACTTATATAGAAAATAATTTTCCTTTTTCTAGTATATAAAATTATTTTCTCTCTACAGAACTAGAAAATGAAGTAACAATTAATTGAAAATATTTCTAATAAATAAAAATTTACAAACAGTAATAGTTAACAAAAAAGAGATAATCTAATAAACTATATTCTAAAGCTAAATTTGCATATTTCCCATTTGATTTTGTTTTTTAGTTGTTTTGTCCATATAATATGAGGCATAGGAAGGTAACTATTTGGGACATATATTTCAGCAGCAGGAACAACAGGGTTAACTATTGTCGCTTTCTGGTTCAGCAGCAGCTTCAATCATATCCCTGATGTCAGTGAATTGCCCATCTTGTCATTCTTCAGTTAGGGTGCAAATAAAACCTAACTCACACAACTTTGCAACAGCAAAAGTTAATTTCTTATATCATAGTCCAGTGTGGATTGGACAGACAGTTCTCTAAGGCAGGTCGCCTGTAAGCAGTAATTCAGGCATCCGGCTCCTTTCCTGATAAGGCTGTTCTGTGTGGAGTCCTTCTCCTTCAGCACCTGGGATGGAAGACAGTGAACATGAGAAGGCACGCTGCCTCTGAGCTGCATCAACACCCAGGCCATACATATCGTTTCTACATGCATTCATTGCTCAGAGCTAAATATGGCCCCACCTAAGCCCCAGAGAGGCTGGGAAATTTGGTTTTCTTGTGTGCCCAGGAAGAGGGCAAGTGGGGGGTAGGGGATGGGAATAGATTAACCAAAGAATTTATATGCATATATGCATAGCCCTTAGACAGACAGTAGTGTGGGGAAGGCCTGGAGAGGGGGTGGGAATGGGGTGGAGGGTGTCAGTGGGGGAAAGATGGGGGACATCTGTAATACTTTCAACAATAAAGATAAATTTAAAAAAGAGACTATGTTCAACTTAATTATATTGCTGCAGTCAGAAAAGTGAATCCCATGCTTGTTGCTTACTAAGTACCTTTCTAGTTCACCTCAAATTATAATTATTTCCTCCCTCCCTCCCTCCCTCCCTTCCTTTCCTACTTGCTCTTACTTCATAAAATGAGTGGAAGATGGAAAGGTGGTGAGTGACAATAGTAGATGAGCAGTGGAGGCCTGGCTGGGACCAGATTGTTCATCCCCTACCCACAGTAATAAGTAGCCTCTTCGCTTTTCGGGTGTCAACAGAGGCTGAGTGGGGAACTTGAGCTTCTAGGCAGTCTCAGCAGCAACCTGGTCAAATCTCCAGAGAATTATGCTAAGTGAAAAACCAACCCCAAAAGATTGTGTGATTCCATTTATATAATTTTCCTGAAATGACAGAATTAAAGAAAGCAGAACAAAGTGGTTGTTGCCAGGGTTTAAGAAAGGAGATGGGGGTTGGAGTGAGTGTGACTAGAAAAGGGCAACAGGAGACATCCTCATAGTATTGGAGTCACTGTGTATCTTGACTGCATCAGTATTAGTATCTTGCTTGTCTGTGCTTTTGTAAAATGTTACCATGGGGGGAAGCTGGGTGAAGAGCACAAGGGATTGCTCTGTATTATTTCTACATGTGATCTATATCATAAGAAAATAACTTTAATTAAGATATTTAAAAGTTATAAATCAAGCTGATAAATCTAAGTAAAAAGTGTTTCATTCCCCTACTTGGACAGATATACTTGCATAACACTCTACTAGGCCAAATTTGAATTTGTAATTCTCAGACCCCCTGGGGGTCTGCACATGTTGCTGTGGGGAGAGTTGGCTTCTGGTCTTCAGCCTAGTGCTCCCCTTTCTTCTTCTAATCCCTGCCCCCTCCTATACTATGAGGGGTGTCCTGTGAATCCATGTTGAATCGTGGACTCCATGTCTAAGCTGCTCTACAAACAACTGTCCCTCAGGTCAAGGAGTGTGAAATGTGAATAAAATAAATAAGTAAAAAATTAAAAAAATAGTGATTTTGTAATAATGATGAGCTATTTGGGAAAAGAAGGTACTCTTTTCATCTTTAGTATATTTGATTTTCATATTCTTGGTAGGACTGGAGATAGGGGATTGCTTGAATACACGAGGTTACAAGTGAAGGGTCAGCAGACATGTAAGGGAACCAGCAAATGAAGATGCTGTGAGCATAGGGAAACAATTAGAAGTGAATTCTGCTTGTCTGTTACCGAATTAAAGGAAGCCTGCTTGCTCAGGGTACCTTTTTTGGCATATGGATGTTATTCTATATTTTACTGTAATTTCTGCATATTTTACCACCTGAATTTGATCTCTTTTGTTATTTTAGTTTATTGGAACCATTTCATATATACATAAAACTATGCAGTGTGAATTTCAGTTTAAAAAAATGTTGCTTAAATATGTGAAATTATGTACTGGATGTAGAAAGTAAAGCAGCTACAAAGTAACATTATCGAGTTCAGATATAGTTTACAATTTGTCTTTTATTTTAAAGGGATTCATTGTACTTTTAATTATTTTTATATTTTGAATCTTCTGTAAGTGCTTTCTTTACCTTTCTTTATATTTCCCTTTCTTCAGATGTTTAGAAAATCATTGGTAAAGATGTTTGAAGATAAAGGGTTGGATTGCATCTTTTTAGAAACTAACATGAGCATGAAGAAACAATATCATATGGTTTATGAATGCATTCCTCTCCCAAAGGAAGTGGGTGATATGGCTCCCATCTATTTTAAGGTATTTATAGATAGTCTTTACATGTGTACTTGTATTTTGCTACAGTGCAGTTTTATGAATACAGTTACCTTTATTCTGTATTTTTTCTCCAATGTACTTAAATAAAATTTTATGTTATATAAAGACATAAAGTAAATCACAAACAATTCTTTATAAATTTCTATGGAAAGAAATTTTGGATTTTGGCCTTGAAAAGCATGCTTTTTTATAAGTGTACATATAATATCAAATGATAATTTATAATTACTATTCCAATTTCTCATTTCTCAAATGAAAAATAGTTTTACCTTGAGTATTTCCAAGTCAAAATTATAGTCATAACTCTAGAAAACTTATCACTGAAATTCATGAGAGCCATAGACAGTTATATAAAAACGGTACAAATAGCAATTGCTAAAGCAAGTTATTGCTGTAAGTTTTAGTATTTCATACCTCATTATGCTATTTATAAAGAGAAACTAATATCTTACTTTGACATACATTTTTGGATATATAGTAAATGACTACACTTCTTGGTTAAGTGTTATCATATTCAAGAAACTTACTAAATAGCATGTGTTTGATGCTGACCTGAATACAATATAGTTTAATAGACTAATATAAATACATAAATATAGAACCATATATGAAATAATAACATGCACAATAAAGAAAGGAGGTAATGTTTTGTGAGATACTGTAGGAAGACTTGCAAATGCAATGTTTAGACAGTATAGGATGGCAATGTAAATCCTATGTTAAAGAAAATCAGTTGAGAGATTATTATTATACTGTTCTTCAGTGGGTTTTGTTTGTTTGTTTGTTGTTTTGTACTTCCTCGGTATAGTCCTGATTGATTGTGACTATAGGCATTGAGGTATGGGCACACCATATGATCGTTAAAGATGCGTTTATTGGATTTGGCTTAAATTTTTGTTTTTGTTAATGCTCACCTGAGGATATTTTCCCATTGATTTTTAGGGAGAGTGGAAAATTGAGGGAAAGAGAGAAACATAGATGTGAGAGAAACACATTGATTGGTTGCCTCCTACATGAGCCCTGACTAGGGCCTGGGCTGGGGAAGAGCCTACAACCAAGGTATGTGCCCTTGACTGGAATTGAACCCGGGACTCTTTGGTCCACAGACAGACCACTGAGCCAAATTGGGTAGAGCATATTTGGCTTAAATTTTATAAAGAATGTGCTACATTATAGTGCCAACACAAGTAACCCATGCCTTTTATTTTTATTTTTTAATGTATTTTTATTGATTTCAGAGGAAGAGAGAGGAAGAGAGAGGTAGAAACATCAGCGATGAGAGAGAAACATTGAGCGGCTGCCTCCTGCACGCCCCCCACTGAGGATGGAGCCTGACAACCCGCTGAGCCAAACCAGCTAGGGCAACCCATGCCTTTTAAATAGGGAGCAGCAGAATATCTGATGTATTTAAATTGTGCTTATTTGAATGTTAATTTCATCATTAGAAGTTGCTTCATTAATTACAGTCCTATATAATAAAAGGCTAATATGCAAATTGTACCCTTGCCCAGGAATTTGACCCAGAGTTTGACCAGGGAGCGGGGCCAGCTGGCCAACTGCCTGTGGCTCTTCCCCCCGGCCGGCAGGTCCAGCCTGAATCGCCCTGGTTGGGGCAGGTTGGCCAGACCCCCCCCCACCTGTGCACAAATTCGTGCACCGGACCTCTAGTACTGTATGAAAAAGAGATTATTTTATACTCATCACCCTAGCCTTTCTTTCTATTAAACATTTCTTTACCATAAATTTTAGTCTATTGCTTAGACTAGAAAGTATTATATTGCCATTTCTATGTTTTTTCCCTCCCTGCACTTTTACTTCTTTGTTATATGGCCAGAAATAGTTTTAACTACTTGGTTGCTAGAAGGCATAGAAATTACTCTTTTCATATTTGGAAAAGAGCAATAAAACGAAATGTATTTATTTGTAGTAGATGTCTATGAATGGAGGAAGGAATTTGTGACCTTTTATGTCCACAATTTTGTGCAATAGTAAATTGGTTGGTTGTATTAAAGATGGTTTTTGTCATGTAAAGTTGAGCTGACCTTAACTTCAGTACAAGAGTTAAGAATGAGAAAACTATCTCTTGACTAAATATAGGTAGGACTTTAAAAAAATCAAGAAGTTCCAATTTTAAGTAACACAAATTAAAGCCTGTCCACTCAAAATAATGACTTACCATGTGTAATATGCCCTGTAATTCATTTACTGTGTTTGAGTTTTTTAAACTGTGTTACTGTATTTGCATATATATTATTTTTCATTAACAAATGTCTGTTTCTTAGAAAGCCATAATGGAATCTGATGAGGAATGGTCTATGAACAAGAAATTGATTGATCTGTCTTCCAAAGATATCAGAAAGTCTGTAAGTATTTTTTTTCTAATATAAGAAATTACCCTAGTGTTAAGGATCTTCATTAATTTCCACATCTTATTTGAGAAAGTGGAAATAATTATTATAATTATAATTATAATTATAATTAATTATAATTAATTATAATTTGGCTGAGTGACCAAATGTGAAGTAACTGATTCTACAGGTGAAGAAGAAATTCTTTTCATTCTGCCTGATCTGGCAAATGCATATTTGTTCAGATGCTTACTGGAATGTTATTCCTGCCCTTCCTGCCCTCTGCCATTGCAGTCAGCCATCAGACCCTGCCACGAGCGTTCCTGTCCTGGGCATCTCGGCCACAGTGGGACAGTGGTGAGCGAGGCTTTCTTGTCACAGAAATAGAATGAGAGACCTTTTCCTAGAGGCTCTATTTTGAATTTGGAACTCGTTTTTTGTTACTGTTTTAAGTGATTTTTTTAGAGAGAGAGGGAGAGAGAGAGAGAGAGAGAGAGAGAGAGAGAGAGAGAGAGGATGAATGAATCATCGATTTTGTTGTTCCACTTGTTAATGCATTCATTGGTTTCTTCTTGTGTGTGCCCTGACCTGGAATGGAACCTACCCTACAACCTTGGCATATGGGGATGCCCTAACCACCTGGCTACCCACCTGGACTCATTTCTTTTTTGTTGCTGTTTTCTTATACAAAGTTTCCTGTTAATATCCCTTTCAAGTAGTTGAGTTAGAGTACAGGTTTATTATGGGGAGTTTTCCCACCATTTTTCATAGTTCAATACTGATTTACAGGTCAACTTTTTAAAATGTTGATTTTGGGAATGCGCTTATTAAAGCTGGGACAGTGACACAAGGAAGGACTTGAGGTAGAAGAAGCAACAGGAGAGCCGAGGCTGGGCTGCACTGGCTCACTGAGAAGTCAAAGGAAAGGGGGCCTTGGAGGCAGGTTCAGGGTTTAGCCTGGGACAAGCTGCTGCTGCCCAGTGCTCCCCTGGGGTCCCTTAGAGTGTAGAAGACAACACATGTGGGAGCAGAGGGGGAGGGATAGGCACTGACATGCTTCTGGGACGGGGAGCACGCCCAGATCAACTTTTAGATGTAAGGTTCACATAAATTGAGTAATTTTTTAATGACCTTTCTCTTTTCTAGAAATAGAAATGGAATGAAATATAGAATTCTGAATTCTGTTTTATTTTTCTATTAAAAATGTAATTTAGTCTACAGATGTTTATTGAGTGCCTCCTATTTACCAGGCACTATTTAGGTGCTTTTCATACGTAGTGTAACAAAACAGAAGATGATCCCTGACTTGATGGAGCTTATATTTAGGGCAGGGTTTGGGAACCTCAGGCTGTGCGCTGAATCCAGCCTGCTGCCTGTTTGTGTGGAACACAGCTGCACCCATTTGTTTATGTATTATCTTTGGCAGGTTTCATGCTACAAGTGCAGGGTTGAGTGTTACGACAGAAACTATGATCTGCAAAGCCTCCAAATAGTTTATTTAAATGGAAACTTTTATAAGTTTCTTAAGTTTGCCGACCCTGTTCTAGTAGTAGATATCACTAGAACATTTTTCTCCCATTTCTTTTGGAAAGCTAGACTCCTGATACATGTGAATGATAGGATTCTTTACTACATTTATTATATCCCAGTCAAAATATTCAAATTTCATGCATTATCGAAGATAGTTTTTATTCAGAGGTAAAATATTCTCTACAATCTTTTTCTTTTCCCTTGCTAGTGAATGCAGTTAGACAGTATACTTAAAAACAATACATAAAAACTCTCCTAAATGTCCTACATACTTCTGTCTTATGAGCCTATAGAAAAAGGTAGCTAATGTGTGCACATCTTTTGTGCCTGCTTTTCACTTCGCATATCATAATTTCCAATGCCATTAAATATTCTTTTAGAACATGATTTTAATGGCAGTCAAAAATACGTATTTTGAAGTAGAAATTTTAAAAGAAATGTTTTATTCTCCATTTGCTACACAGCATATGCAGTTTTTGTACTGGTAAACCATCACCTACTTATTATAAGTTTGTTTTTAAAACTTAGATAAGTATTTAAATACCCAGAGGGTTTTAATATTTTAACTTAACCAATATGGGAAATAAGAAAAAGATACCCAATCCTTAGTAGTTGTGTATTCAACTTTGATATAGCACCAATTGCTTTTTCTAAGTCCTGCATAGTGCTGCATCTGAGAGTCACAGCAGGTGAGGAAGGAGCCAGATGAGTTTTTGAGGTCCATCTTAGCTTTAGGATTTAGTAATTATGTGATAGAATTGTGAATAGAACTTGAGTATAAGAATAATTCCAAAGCAGGTCAATTATTAGGTTAACAAGCTTTCTAGTATCATTTTAAAATGATAAAAGTGTTTTGAGCATGAAGTGAATAATCTTGAGTTATTTTGACATTATTTTTATTCTGAACACACACACACACACACACACACACACACACACAACCCTCATTATACGTGTTTTAAGAGCTTTTTGTCCTTGGTAGTTTCATAAAGTATTTGACCTGCCTTATTGGAGCTTTTATCCATTATTTTCCAAAATATTCATGGCAAATAATGGATAATTGATTTTTTTTTCATAATTTGTATTTCTCTACTGATTAGTGACTTTGAGCAGTTTTTCATGTATCTCCTGGCCATTTGTATGTCCTCTTTGGAGAAATGTCTATTCAGGTATTTTGCCCATTTTTAAATTGAATTGTTCGTCGTCTTTTTGTTGATTTGTATGAGTACTTTATAAATTTTGGATATTAACCCCTTATCCGGTGTATTATTGGCAAATATGTTCTCCCATTCAGTGGGTTTCCTTTTCAATTTGATGGTGGTTTCTTTTGCTGTGCAGAAGCTTTTTATTTTGATGTAGTCCCATTTATTTTCTCCTTAGTTTCCTTTGCCCTAGAAGATGTATCCGTAAACATATTGCTACATAAGATGTCTGCCTGTGTTTTCTTATAAGATTTTTATGGTTTCATGCCTTACATTTAAGTCTTTTATCCACCTTGAATTTATCTTGTGTATGGTGTAAGTTGGTGGTCTAGTTTCATCTTTTTTCAAGTGTCTGTCCAGTTTTCTCAGCACCATTTGTTGAAGAGACTGTCTTTACTCTATTGTATGTTCTTGCCTCCTTTGTCAAATATTAATTGACTGTAATGATGTGTCAATTTTTGGGGTCTCTGTTCTGATCCATTGGTCTATATGCCTGTTCTTGTGCCAGTACCAGGATGTTTTGGTTATAATGACTTTGTAGAGCAGTTTGATATCCGGTATTGTGTTCCCTCCTACTTCGTTCTTCTTTCTCAAGATTGCGGCAGCTATTCAGCGTCTTTTATGGTTCCATATATATTTTTGGAGTATTTGTTCTAACTCTGTGAATATGCCGTTAGCGTTTTAATAGGGATTGCATTGAATTTGTAGATTGCTTTGGGTAGTATAGACATATTAATGATATTAATTCTTCCAATCCATGAACATGGTATATACACTTGCATTTCTTTGTATCTTCCTCTATTTCTGTTTTCAATGTCCTATAGTTTTCCAAGTACAGGTCTTTTACCTCATTGGTTAAGTTTATTCCTAGATATCTTACTTTTCTTTTGTTGCAATGGTAAATGGGATTGCTTTTTTTAAAATATTTTAATATCTATATTTTTTATTGATTTCAGAGAGGGAAGGAGAGGGAGAGAGAGAGATAGAAATATTAATGATGAGAGAGAATCATTGATCAGCTGCCTCCTGCACACCCCTAGTGGGGATTGAGCCTGCAACCGAGGCATATGCCCTTTACCGGAATTAACCGGAATTAAACCCGGACCCTTCAGTCCCCAGGGCGACGCTCTATCCACTGAGCCAAACCAGCTAGGACAGTGGTCGGCAAATTCATTAGTCAACAGAGCCAAATATCAACAGTACAACGATTGAAATTTCTTTTGACAGCCAAATTTTTTAAACTTAAACTATATAGGTAGGTACATTGTTATTAATTAGGGCACTCCTAAGGCTTAGGAAGAGCCACACTCAAGGGGCCAAAGAGCCACATGTGGCTCGCGAGCCGCAATTTGATGACCACGGGGCTAGGACAATGGGATTGCTGTTTTAGTTTCTCTTTCTGAGAGTTCATTATTGGTGTATAAAAATGCCATAGATTTGTAGATGTTGATTTTGTATCATTCTACCTTGCCGAATTCATTTATTAAGTGTAGTAGTTTCCTGTTGGAGAGTTTAAGGTTAACTATGTGCAATATCACGTCATCTGCAAATAATGACAGTTTTATTTCCTCCTTTCCAGTTTAGATGCCTTTTATCTCTTCTTTTTGTCTGATTCCTGTGGCTAGGACTTCCAGTGCTATGTTGAATAAGAGTGGTGAAAGTGAGCATCTTTGTCTTGTGCCTGTTCTTAAGGGAAATGCTTTTAGTTTTTGTCCATTGAGTATTATGATTGCTGTAGGTTTTTCGTATATGACCTTTATTATGTTGAGGTATGATCCCTCTATTCCCACTTTACTGAGAGTTTTTATCAAAATATGGTGCTGTATTCTGTTGAATACTTTTTCTGAATTTATTGATATCATCATGTGGTTTTTATCTTTCAGTTTGTTTATATGATGTGTCACATTTATTGATTTGTGAATATTGTACCAGCCTTGCATCCCTGGAATAAATCCCACTTGATCATGGTGTATGACCTTTTTTAATATATTGCTGGATCTTATTTGCTAATATTTTGTTAAAAATTTTAGCATCTTTTTTCATCAGGGAAATTGGCCTGTAATTTTATTTCTTTGTAGTGTCTTTATCTGGTTTGGAATTAGGATAATGCTGGCCTCATAAAAAGAGCTTGGAAGTGTTCCTTCCTCTTGAATTTTTTGGAATAGTTTAAGGAGGATAGGTATCAGTTGTTTTTGAATGTTTGGTAAAATTTATCTGTAAATCCATCCAGTTCAGGACTTTTGTTTGCTGGAAGTGTTTAAGTTACTGCTTCAATTTCATCAGCTGTTATTGCCTATTCAGGTTTTCTGATTCTTCCTGATTGAGTTTTGGAAGATTGTATGTTTCTAGGAATTTGTCCATTTCACCCAGATTATCCAGTTTGTTTACACACAATCCTTTGTATTTCTGTGGTGTCCGTTGTTATATCACCTCTTTCATCTCTGTTTATATTTATTTGTTTCTTGATGAGTCTGGCTAGAGGTTCATCAATCTTGTTTATCTTTTCAAAGAACCAGCTCTTATATTTATTGATCTTTTGTACTGTTTTCTTAGTTTCTGTCATTTATTTTTGTTCTGATCTTTATTATTTCCTTCTACATCCTATAGGCTCTTCTCGCTGTTCTCTTTTAGTTTATTTAGTTGTAGGATTAGATAGTTTATTAGTACTTTTTCTTGTTTCTTCAGGTAGGCCTGAAGTGCTATAACCTTTTCTCTCGGGACTGCTTTCGCCATGTCCCAAAAGTTTTGGGTGGCTATGTGTTCATTTTCACTTGTTTCCAGGAAGTTTTTTATTTCTTGCTTGATCTCATTGGTAACCCATTCATTGTTTAATAACATGCTATTAGCCTGCATGTGTTTGAATGTTTTTGAGTGTTTTTATTTTAGTTGATTTCTAAGTTCATACCATTGTGATCTGAGAAGATTCTTGGTATTATATCAGTCTTCTTGAATGTGTATAAACTTGTTTTATGCCCTAATTAATATGTGGTCTATCTTTGAGAATGTTCCATGTGCACTTGAGAAGAATGTATATTCTATTGCTTTGGTGTGAAATGTTCTGTAAATATCACTTAGATCCACGTGATCTAGTGTTATTTAAGGTCCCTGTTTCCTTGTTAATTTTTTGTCTAGAAGATTTATCCAGTGATGTCAGTGGGTTGTTCAAGTCCCCCATTATGACTGTATTGCTGTCAGTCTCTCCTTTAAGGTCCATCAAGAGTTGTTTAATGTACTTGGGTGCTCCTATATTGGATGCATATATGTTTACAAGGGTTATATTTTCTTGTTGAATCATTACCTTTAGTATTATGAAGTGGCCTTCTTTGTCTCTTATGATGGTCTTCATTTTGAAGTCTATTTTGTCAGATACGAGTATTGCTACCATAGCTTTTTTTTCATTTCCATTTGCCTGGGAAAATTTTTTCTCATCCCTTCACTCTCATCTTGTATGAGTATTTTGTTTTGAGGTGGGTCTCTTGTGGACAGCATATGTTTGTGACATGTTTTTGTATCCATTCAGCTATTCTATGTCTTTTGATTAGAGCATTTAATCCATTTCCATTTAAGATTATTATTGATAGGTACTTATTTATTGCCATTTTAATTCAATATGCCTGTTTCTCTCTATGTATTTTTTCTTCTCATTATAGCAGTTCCTTTAGCATTTCTTTCAGTGCTGGTTTAGTAGTAATAAACTCTGTGTTTTTTTGTTTTGTTTTGTTTTGTTTTGGTTTTTTTTGCCTTGGAAGCTGGTTATTTCACCATCTATTTTGAATGATAGCCTTGCAGGATATAGTAATCTTGGTTTCAAAATCTTGCTTTTCATTACCTTGGACCCTTCATGCCATTCCCTTCTGACTTGTAGAGTTTATGATAAAAGATAAGCTGACAGCCTTATGGGAGCTCCTTTGTAGGTCACAATTGTTTTTCTGTTGCTGCCTCTAAAATTCTATCTTTGTCTTTAGTTTTTGGCATTTTAATTATGATGTGTCTGGGTGTGGGCCTGTTTGGGTTCTTCTTGCTTGGAACTCTCTGTGCCTTCTGAACTTGTATGACTTTTTTCTTCACCAGGTTAGGGTAGTTTTCTATCATTATTTCTTCAAACAAGTTCTCTATCCCTTGCTCACTTTCTTCACCATCTGGAACTCCTATGATGTGAGTATTGTTACATTTCACATCGTCCCACAACTCCCTTAAGCTGTCCTGTTTTTCTTTTTGTTTCTCTGATTGATTTTTTTTTTTTTACCCTCTCTTCTAATTCACCAATTCATCTGATCCTAGGCTTCCCCTAATTTTCTGTTTATTCTTTCCATTGTGTTCTTTATTAGTGCTGTGCCATTCTTCATTTCTGACTGGTGTTTTTTCATAGTTTCTGTATCTTTTCTCATGCAGTTGTGCATCCTTGCAATAATTATTCTGAACGCTATATCCTGATAATTGTTGGATGTCCATTTCATTTCTCTCTTCTTCTGGAGAATTCTCTTGTTCTTTCATTTGGGGCTTGTTTTTTTCTCTTTTTGTGGGTTTTTGTTTTGTTTTGTTTTTTCTTTTTTGTTTGTTTGTTTTTTTGTCTTCTCATATTGGCTGCCTGTTTGGGTTTGTGTCTATGTATTAGGTAGATCTGCTACGACTCCCAATCTCTAGGGCATGACAATGTCAGACGCTATTGGTGACTGGCCCTGAGTACCCTGTTTGGAGCTATCAGCAATGCACAGCTTGTGGCTCCTTCTGCTGGTGCTCAGTGCTTTTGAAAAGGACCAAGATGCGTGCCGAGGTCTGCTTTCCCTAGCTCCAGACTGTGAATTAGATCAGGCAAGGACTAAAAACCACCAGAGACCCACTTCTGCCTACAGTCTGATTGTTATTCAGTCTCAGTTAGCCTCAGGCTATCAACCACAGCAAGATGTAGATTCCACAGGGTGTGGTGAGAGGTTTTCCAACAGGGTGCGGTAGTTGCTGCACTCACAGGCAAAAGTTGCCTGGATAATAAAAATCTACCTGAGAAGGACGTCCTCCGCAGCTTGAGGGAATGACTCAGCCCAGGAAATCGGGGTGGCTGCCTTCCAATCTCTAAACCCAGGGTCCCCAACCTTAGAATTTCCTCACACAGCCCTAATTCACTCTGCCCTCTCTCTGTCAGAGCCCAAGGTGAGTGGCTGAACATGAAAATGTACATTGGCCCTTTAAGAGGGTTCCTGCATTTCCAGCTGTCTCTCCCTGGCAGATGGCAACCCTGCTGCTTTTCACAGCCAGATGTTATGTGGGCACCTTTCTCAGTTCTGGTACCCTCTGCTAGGTGGCCCTAGTTCTCAGTGGGAACCCCTGCAGCTGAGATATCCTCCAGAATTTCATCTGCTGCCTGTGGGAGCCCGGCCAGCCCTTTCACGCCTAACCCTTCCTACAGCCACGATGGGATCTCCACTTTCCGTCCTTGGTTATCAGGATTCTCTGTAGCCAGTCTTCAGTCGATTATTCAGGATGGTTTTCCTGTATTTTAGTTGTATGCCAGTTTGGTCCTGGGAGAGTCATTGTAGTTTCCACTTACTCTGCCGCCATTTTGGATTCCTAAAAAATAATTGGTTTTGATGAAATTGTTGGATTATGAAGAGCTATCTGGTTGAAAGGCTACCAAATGAAATGTGTTTCACAGAGTGTTAGGTCATTGCCTCAGTATTTCTAGATTAGAAGTTCAACTTTTAAATTTTTTTACTTTTTCTTGAGAGATACTTAGTTACTGACATGCCAGATAGCATAAAGAGGGGTTAAGCATGACTTCCTGATTTCGTGTGCATTTACATGTGATTTATTTATTTATTTAGGTGCCTAAAGGCTTACCTTACTTCTCTGTGGATTTCGGTCTTCAAGGAGGGTTTGCTCATGTCATTGAAGATCAGCACAAATTCCCTCATTACTTTGGAAAGGTATGCTCACTAATTTAATAACATTCAAGTGTTTAGCCATTTAATAGCACTTTTCTTTTGAAGGGAAGTCAAAACTTCAGTCACGGTATTCAGTGAGGTTGGTTCCAATTTTTAGAGGGACAACTTAGCACCTATTAATAACATTAATCCAGGATATTTGTTACAGTCAGGAATGTCGCTTTGGAACCAAAGATTTGTTGTCAGTGTTAACAATGACTGTAGTGTTTTCCTGTGGAATCAGCCAGCCTCATGCTGAGAATGGTAGTTGCTAACATTTACTGAGGGTTTATTTACACTGACACAGGTGTTGTTCTGAGCACTCATTTAATTCTCACAATAACATTATTATATAGATATTGTTATTACTTTCATTTTATAGATGAAGAAACTGAGTTTGAGAGGTTATATAACTTGCCCAACATAATTTGCTAATAAATGGCAGAACCAAGGGTACATGCACTCATCATTGAACTAGAGAGCAAATGAATTCACCTCTTCATTTATGAGTAAGCATTGTATATTTCAAGAATCATACATACATGACTCATTTTATACATAGTTTCTGGGAAGATATTGGAGTGTAGATCTTCCATGGCCAGTAGGTTCTTTTCACTACTACAGATTGCCTTCTAGGGGTGTAGTCCTCCCATGTGTCTGCTGAGATTCTGGGTGATGGGTAAGCCAGCGTCAGGAATTAGAATAAAATTAACATAACCACTTAGGCAGTCTAAATAAGTCCAGGCAGTAATAGCTCTACAAGTGACCTTTCACTGTAGGGTAGCTCCACCTTTCCTCTCAGATCATCCTGTAATTAGAGGAGCCTTGATGAATTCCCAGGGTTCCCTGTGCTCCCTCCCCACTTTATCTCCTATCAAAGACCATCTTCTACAGTGAAGAAGGGACATGTCAAGAGGAATCTCAACCCCTGAGGTTTGGATTAGAAACTTTTTATGCTGCTGTCCTTAAAGGATTAACCAGGGTCCCAAAATCACATGCATCTTTGAACTGTTGAGATATATTACAGAAACTTGTTTGAGAATTTTCACAATATTTTATCCAGAGTTAACTAGAGAGAAATTTGTTTCCATTGTTCTGAAACATTCTGTTGTTATTCAGTAATGACAGAATTTTGTCATTGAACATGACAAAATTTACTTTTTTTTAAACTTCATTCTAGTGAAATTGAAGTAAATTATCATTTATTTTGTTTTTTTTAATAAATGCTTAGAATTTTATTTTTTCCATCACCATTTATTCCCTCTATGCCCTCTTCCACCTCCACCTTTCCTCCTCCCTGCCACAATTGATTTATAAATATACTGGGTAGCAGAGAGAACATTAGCCTGAGATTCAACTGCAGTTGAACAACCAAGTTAATAATTATTAGATGTTGATTAGTTTTTTAAACCGAGCAGCTAATAAGAATCAAATAAATTTCACTTTCTCGTCCTCCTTTTGCTGCTGTCTGGTAAATGTGCCAACAGGCAACAAAATGGACAAATTGCTTGACAAGGAGACTCCTAGGATTATAGGGTTCACATAGTTAGAGCTAATTGAAAACCAGATTTTTTTACCTTGAAACTATTTATGTAAAATTTGAACATTTTCACTGAAACTACTTAATGCTATAGTTAGTAGCAGAATAAAAAGTCGTTTCATTCCTGCTTTCAGCATTTATACATACATGTGTCTGTATTTTTCTCATTCTTTAAAAGGAAATCATTGGTGGGATGCTGGATATAGAGCCACGACTTTGGAGGAAAGGGGTCCGAGAAAGCTTTGAGGATCAGAGGAAGAAAGCACTGCAATTTGCTCAGTGGTGGAAACCATTTGACTTCACCAAAAGTAAAACATGTTGAATCATACCTTCCAGTGTTATTTCCTCTTCAGATCCCTTTCAGTTTTATTTCCATTGTACCTAATAAGCAGCTGACCCTCAGGTCCCAGGGAAGTCATGCTCTGGGTCTCTGACCACAGTGCATCACTGGATCGTGTCGTGTCCTTCCCCACCTGCTCCTGTGGACTTCATTGCTGTAACCCGGCGTAAGGCCAGCTGTGTCGGTGACCTGCTCACGTTCCTGTTCTGTGCCTACGTCTTGGTGTACTGAACTATTTCGTGCATATATGGAAAGACTTTTCTGAAGGATTAGCCAGGAAGCATAACAAATCATGGGTTCAGAAGGAATTGGGTCAACATCAAGGTTAAGTCTATTGATTGACGTCTTTTGCACTTTTTAAATTAAGAGTTGGCATATTCAGTAATAATTGAAATTTCTTTTCATAGCATTTTATAGAAGATCTCTTAATTTTCTACCAGTAGCACATGTATCACTGCTATTCTTTTTATTAAAGGAAAAAGACTGTTCCAAAGTAATAAAGAATTAAATGAATTATAGCCTGTTCATAATTTGTTTTTATTTCTAGAATTTTTAAATAATGTCTTTGAATTTTGGTGAGTTTAAAAATAATTGTTCTAAGTAACACAATTTACAGTTTTTGGGATTTGAATGAAAATTAAAAATTGTAGCCAAATAATCATTTTTGTGTTGTATTGTTTACTATAAACCTTAAGTAATGAGAGCATGCTAAATGTCGGGAGCACATTCCATCCTCCCCCACTTCATCTAAGGCTCTTCATTTTCCTTTGTTCTCATACTTGGTGTCAAGAGAAAACTATATGCTTATAAAATATGGCCATGGTGTAAAAGGTCTACTTTTTTTAATATGGAAGATATTTTTGTAGTAAATCCTTCTTGGAAGATGTTGGTTTTTTTTGGCGCTGAACTTTGACATTTTGTCATGAAATGTCAAATACCTAGGATTAGTGTGACATGTACTCTAGATTAATTCATAATTCTACATAGTTTTTATTATTACATAGTTATTTTTAATATTGACATGTTATTTCATTAGTATGTTACAAAAGAGAAATGTTTATGTTCTATCTCTAATTCTTAAATTTCACAATAAGTTGAAGTTTAATGGGTTCAGTTTCTTAATATTTGCAATTTAAATATGTTTATCAAATAGATACTTGATAGTATTTTATTTATTGCAGTTTTCAAACTTCAGGCTTTGCTGTGATGTCTTAGAGGAGTTTTAGGTATAACATTCATTTATTCTGTGTCGGTGAATTAACAAACAATTATTTGCAGGGCATTTTGTTACTTGCTGGTAGTGGAAAAATAAACTACTTACCTACTTTGAATAATTTTAGAGTCTAGTGGAGAAAGAGACATGCTTATGAATAATGATAGCACATTGTACAAGTTCTAAAATGAGATATGCACCACGTGTGTGCAAGGACAGTGCTAAAGGACTGTTCCCATCCCTCTGTCTTCATTCTTAGCTGATGACCTTGTCCTGTTTTCCTGAGGAAATACAACCAAACAGAAGGGAATTTGTACCATATCTACCAATAGACCGGCCTCTGTACCCATGTACTATACGTTCCCTCTTGCTAACTGTAGATAAGATATTTTGTTACTCTTATTTAGGGCTAATCCACTCACTTATACACTGGATTTCATCCTTTTTCACCTTCAATTGCCCGTTTTCTTGGTGGTGTTAAGTTTTTCCTCTATGTAAGATTACTTCTATTTAGCATACAAATCATTGTATAATATGTCAACACAAACCCTGGCATCCTATTCCCCTCAGCCATTTCTCGTCTCCAGTTGACAGCAAAACCCATTTAAAAAAAATATATATTTTATTGATTTTTTAACAGAGAGGAAGGGAGAGGGATAGAGAGTCAGAAACATCGATGAGAGAGAAACATCAATCAGCCGCCTCCTGCACACCCCCCAACTGGGGATGTGCCCGCAACCGAGGTACATGCCCTTGACCAGAATCGAACCTGGGACCCTTCAGTCTGCAGGCCGACGCTCTATCCACTAAGCCAAACAGGTTAGGGCAGCAAAACCCATTTTTAAAAATCTGTTTCTTCTACTAAAACTAATTATGTTCAGGTCCTCGGTGAACTTTCTACAGGGGCAACTCGAGTAACTAATGCTCAGTGCGCGTGTTACTCTACCCATCAGCATCACTGACGTACTCGGTCACTGCCCTTCTTGAGATACTTTCTGTGCTTTGCTTCGCGAGCACCATCTGTTATTCATCCTCCTTCCTTGCTGGCTGCATCCTCTCAATCTCCTTGCTGGTTCCTCTAAACTTTTCCACCTCTAAGTGTTGAAAATGCACGTTCTCAAACCTGTCTTTTCTCTAATTCACTCCTTCCCAAAGGAATCTCATCACTAAAAAGGTCTTAAATACCATTTTTAAGTTGGTTCCTTTATTCAACAAATATTTGAGTGTCTGTTTCTATATGTCAGTCACTGTTGTGCATACAGGGGATATGTTAGTGAATAAAACAAAAATCCTTTGTGGAGTTCACACTGTATTGGGGAAGACAGACATTAGACATAATAAATAAATTATCTAGAAAATGTCAGAGGTGATAAGCACTATGGAAAAAGGAACAGTAGAACAGAACAGAAGATTCTCCCAAGTTCTTATCTTTCCTCTGGACCGCTTCACCGAACTCCAGAACGTATATCCAGACACCAACATGACATTTCCACTGTGTGTGTGTGTCTGCAACAGGGATATCAAGACTGAACTCCATTTTTCCTGTTTGCTATTCACAACAACCACTGTATCTCGTGGTTTTAGGCCTGAGGAATTTGGTCGGGGCTCAGCTAGATGACTTGTCTGCTTCAGGATGTCTGGGGCCTCCACTGGAGGGGCTCAAACATCTGGAATGACTGAGGCCATGTGTGTAGGTCCTCTGTTCACAGGTCTGGTGTCTGCGTGGGAATGACGAGCAGCTGGCATCAGGCTGATCATACTCTTCTTTATGGACGTGCTGTGTGGCTTCTGGCTGCCTCCAGAGCAGCCATCCCAAAGACAGTTCCAAGAGAGAAGTGGAAGGTGCCATTTTTTTTTTTTTAGGACGGGGGCCTTTTTAGCAATGAGGCCCAGAAGTCAGCACAGCTTCATTTCTGCTGTATTCTATTTGTTAGTTGTCACATACTGTGTAGTTGTCAGAGCCCACCTACATTCAAGAAGAGGGGTCATAACCCGACCTGCCGATGGAGTAGTGTCAAATAATTTGTGGCCATCTATCACTGACCACAATCTACCCACTGGCTACAAATTTACACAGTCCCTTCCCCACCCCATGACAGATATATCCAAATCCTTCCAGAAGTCTGATCCCAGCAGGCATTACGTTGAGGCTCGGAATTCAGAATCCCATCTAAAGCAGCCCAGATAGAGAGGAGGCTGCTCAGTGCTTCAATCTGAAGATCTGTGGATTTAAGAGACAGATTATCTGCAACACACACACACACACACACACCCCATACAATAATAAGAAGAAGCATACAACCAATGACAGTGGGCACATTCATTGAAAAAGACCAGAAACATAAGGCACATTGCAATCACTGTTCACTAGTGATTCTAAAATTAAGTGGAGCCTATGTTGCCGGTTGCTCAATTAGGGTTGTAGTCCTGCTTCTTGAGAATGATTCTATGGGGGCTCCTTGCTGTGCACTGTCTACCCTTAGTTCAACTCTGAGTCAATCTTTCTTTTTCATAAGAAATAACTCAAGACTTACGCTTCCACCTAAGGCAAAGTAGTCATATTATCTTGCTGACTAAAACAACCTAAATAGGTAACATCTATGAAATGATGCTTTTTGAGACCTGGGACATCAGGCTAGAAAGTACAGTGATCCCGCAGAGACGGGAAACGAGATGAGCCCTGAGATTGCCCTGCCTTACTGTGTTCAGAGCATTCCCATCTTGTGGTACCAGGTGGGTGGGGTCGGGGCAGAGCCTATTCAACTGAGTAGAGGAAATGGAGCTAGGCGAGTCTGGGGAGATCAAGACAATGGGTCAGGTTATTGGAGAGAGGATCACCGCCCAGAGAGAGAACTCCAGAAGTGTTCAGAAGGTCCCTTCTAGCATCTGCACTGACCAGTGCACGCATGTGCAGAGACTACCTGAGAGGCAAAGTTCACCTATCTGTGCGGAGCAGAGCTAACGTTTCCCCACGAGCGGGAATGGAAAGGTCAGGGTTGACCAGGAATTGGGGAGAGCACACAGAATGGTAGTGTGTAGTGAAGAAGAATCTAAAGACTTAACACTGATCTACTCTTGACAAACCAATCTTAAAAGCAAGATGCAAAAGGGATCAAACTGTTTCTAGCCTGGCTGGAGAGGCTCAGTTGGTTGAGTGTCACACCGAAAGGTTGCCAGTTCGATTCCCTGTCAGGGCTCTTAATGGAAAGCAACCAATCGATGTTTCGATCTCTCTCTCTCTCTCTCTCTCTCTCTCTCTCTCTCTCTGTCTCTCTCTCTCTCTCTCCCTTCTCTAAAGCGTGTTCCTGCGGTGGAGGATGAGAAAAAAAAAAAAAGGAAGAAAAGACAAAAACTGTTTCTAAGTAACTTAAATGTATCCCAGAACAAAGCTCAAAAATATTTATAGGAATAAAAATACATCCAGTAGTCACAACATACAATTCAGTGTCTGGCATCCAGTTAAAATTGATCAAGCATACAAAAAAGCACTGGAATGCCTGGGTAAATAATAGTATATGGGCTTTTTTTCCCCGTTGATTTCTTTAAAAGATATTTTACCGTTTAAGCAAAAAACAATTAGTGTGAACTTTATAACACGTAAAAGCAAAATAAATGGCAATAATAACACGAAAGTGGGAAGGGAGAAATGGAAGTACATTATTATAAGGTGGTTACACTGCACTTGAAGCAGTGTAATATAACTTGAATTTAGACTTGATAAACATGTATAGTTAAGAACTCTATAAAGCAAACCCTAATATAAAAAAACAGGCACATAAAAATTTCTAACAGCCAAGAAAGAAGACAAATTGGAACATAAAATAATCTCAATCCAAATGAAGGCAGAAACAGAGGAAAAGGGCAATAAAGTACAGATGGAACAAATAGAAAACACAACGCAGATAAATGAGAGATTTAAACCCAAATGTTATATTCATAATATTTTTTTTTTTATTGCTGCATGGCAACCACAAATGTGGTAGCCTAAAGCAACACACATTCCTTATCCCCCCACTTCTGTGGGTCGGAGGTCAGGCGCACCTTGCCTGGGTCCTTTGCTGAGGTCTCACATCTGTATCGAGGTGTCGCCAGGGCAGGGATCTCATCTGGAGGCTGGACTGGGGAAAGGTGCGCTCCCCCACTTACGTTGTTCTTTGCAGCATTTAGTTCCTTTCAACTAGGACTGAAAGCTTCAAGGTTTTTTTGTTTTTTCCACCTGTGGGCCAGAGGCTGCCCTCTGGTCCTATTTGGCATCAGCACTTCCTTACCGCACGGGGTTCCCCAGGGGAAGGAGACTCCAGCAAG